GTGGTGGTTATAATATGGTCACTGCCTAATGACATGACAGAGGAGGGTGGTGGTTATAATATGCTCACTGCATAATGACATGACAGAGGAAGGAGGTGGTTATGATATGCTCACTGCATAATGACATGACAGAGGAGGGTGGTGGTTATAATATGGTCACTGCCTAATGACATGACAGAGGAGGGTGGTGGTTATAATATGCTCACTGCATAATGACATGACAGAGGAAGGTGGTGGTTATGATATGCTCACTGCATAATGACATGACAGAGGAGGGTGGTGGTTATAATATGCTCACTGCATAATGACATGACAGAGGAAGGAGGTGGTTATGATATGCTCACTGCATAATGACATGACAGAGGAGGGTGGTGGTTATAATATGCTCACTACATGATGATATGACAGAGGAGGGTGGTGGTCATAATATGCTCACCGCATAATGACATTACAGAGGAGGGTGGTGGTTATAATACAGTCACTGCATGTTGATATGACAGAGTGGTGGTTATAATGTGGTCACTGCCTGATTTGACAGAGGAGGGTGGTGGTTATAATATGGTCACTGCATGACTGTTTATACAGACTGCTTTTCCCATACTAGAAAATTAACTAAACATATTAACATGTTATGTTCAAAGTAAAAAATGTGAATACGAAACATTAACAATTCACAGAGAGGCAGCAGACCATGAAGAGGGCATTCTGGGATTTGGTAAGTATTTGGTTGAGTAAAATGCAATTATTGTAATTATTTAGCTCTATTAACTCATCACTTGAACTTTAATCACTTGAAATTTAAAAAGTAAAAATACGACGACTACAGCAAGGAACAAGCATCCAAACGGAAAGCTACACAGAAACGGCGGCTCACTTTAGTTTTACTGGCTACACTGGAATGTGACTGTGCAGCCTGTAAATCAGCTATTTGCTCATTTTTCTGCTCAGACTGGATGGTGGAGACTGAGAGGCAGGCACACGAGCACAGGCGAGGAGCTTCAGAAGGCATGCTGTGACTGGAACGTGCTAAGGGATGCAAGCCTCAATGCAGCCACTGTTCTGAATGACACTCGAGGCCTTTGTGAGAAAGACGTACAGCGGAGTTTCACTGCGTTACTCCGCCGCCCCGCAGATGCGCGACTCTTCCTCCTCAAAGTGGGCCGTGGCTCCCCGGCCAAATTCAACCAGCCCTGTTACTTCAGCTGGGGCTAGCAAATAATCTAATGAAAAGGTTAAGAAAATATTGCACAAATCTTGTCAACGGTGACTGCAAATAAAGGAATCTTTAAATGATTACATTTGACTTCTGCATTCTCTACAGTGTCTGTTTTGTGTTCTGTCGCTACCCGAGCAGGAGCAGCAGATGCCTGTTAATCTGTGTGGGAGTTGCTGCACACACAAGAGAGAACTTGTTTGAAATCTGCACTCGATGCTTCCTTCTTGAGTCAATCTGTTAAAAAAAAAAAATAACACCAAAGAGCACCAGAATGGAAACCACCGATACTCCCAAACCCCCCCTTCAACAGGAAACTTCGCATCCCTAAAGAGATATTCAACTTCTCCATGAAGACTGCAGCGTTACCAAGCCTGGTCCTAAGGACCGGTATCTGGTTTAAACCTGATCATGAACTAACCTCACGTGGTTAAGCCAACCACCAAAGCATCCCACCAGATCTTTATTTCTGGTTCACAGTGGCAGTGCCAATACCCAGATCCAAGGTCACACTTTCAGACTCTCATACTCAAGCAAGAAATCTTATGGCAAATCTAGCCTTGGCGTAGTTTGTAATAAAATGTACATACATGTAAATGCGTGTGCATGTGTGTGCAGACTCAAATTGAAAATCTCACTCCAGCCGGCTGACTGAAGTCGGCAACCCTGCAGATCGCCATAGAAAACCAGAGGATCAAGTACTGATTTGCCATTTAAAATAAACAATGACGACAGTCTCGCCACAGTACATGATCCCAAAACTCCTCCCCAGACTGAACGTCAAACTACCTGGCTTTAGAAAAGAAATGGCACAGAAGAGGATAAAGCTTCAACAACTTTCAGAAAAGTGCATCAAGAAAAGCATCTGATCCTAGGAATGGTGCTTAGCTGGTCCGTACAAGCACAACCTGCGGCTTTCAGATATCTGGGAAGACAACCTTCAACTGGTCAAACTGATTGCCGACAGCCAATACACTTCTGAGGAATTTCTGGATATGGAAATCAGGCGGATGAGACCACAGAAAAGGAGAGTCAGCAAAATGCATCGCACTGTCTCACAGAAAAGAAACTCCAAAGCTACAACACCCGGACAACGTGGCGGATTTTTAACATCCAAAAGAAACTGCACGGTCCCACCCATCTACACACATCTGAACACTTTGGCGTGGCTCTATTCATTTATAAAAGGGACATAATGAGAGCTCTTTGTTAGGATCGTGCATTACCCACACTGTCACAGGGCATTGACATAAAAGTGCAATTAGAGGAAACATGGTTTTTGCTGTGAACCTTTCTATTTTAAGGATTCACTTTTGGGAGTCACTGTCATACGTATCCTCACAGTTAGAAGTTGGGGGAAAGAAACGTATCAAACATAATTTAACACATATTAGGTATATTACGCGCAGAATACTTCAAGCTTACACAGTATTCTCACATTAGCCATATATTCATATACTTATGCACAGAGGTTTTCGTGACGGATCTCCATTACATGAACTCGGGCAGATAACCAGCTGGCCGGAGAGACACCACGGCGTCACAGCCTTAACACACGCGAGGCGGCCGGGGTGAGAGATCCGCCGGAGCGGGGGAGCCCGGGTACCGCTGGGGGGGCTCTGCCACAGAGCCGGGACCGAAGGATCCCCGGTAAACTTCCATTTCGTTACCTCCTTAACGGGGGGGAATTTCTTCTTGCACTCCATCGACAGCAGCCGCAGGTCCGCCTGCATGTTGTCCACCAGTTTCTTCACCGCCTCCGGGCTGGTGGTCGTCATTTTTCAGCCGTCTGCCTTCCCAACGTCCCCGAAATAAAAACCAGACCTGTTTTATAGCAGAAGGGCCGCGCTACCGCTATGCTAGGGAGCAACGCGACCTATTTCGGTGGCCGGCGAAGGATGAGAGCACCGTGAGCGGCGCCGTTCACCCAGCGTCCATCGAGGCAGCGCTCCGTCAGGCTGCGCGGTCTCCGGCCGCCCCGCTAGAGCCGATATCCGCTCAGCAACCACCCCGCGCCCCCGCACCGCTGATCATCACCCCTGTCCGTCCACCTTTCCGTTCTCCGCGGCTTATTCGGCGATTCCAGTTGTCAGGTTTTACTGGTCCAGTTTGTGCCCATAAACAGCGATCCCACAATGCCCCGGCGCACAGGGACACGTCACTGCTACTTCCGTAAACAGTAACCGGATCTCACAGTAAAAGATGCAGCGCCCCCTGCTGCCATTATCTAGGTTTCATTATCAAAATTCATTATTGCTGTGTATGGTTAATACATTAGTTCACATATCATATAGGAAACAAGCGTAAAATTGTTTAACAATCTGAATTATGTGGATATCAAATAAATATTTATTTTATTCAACAAAATCTGATGACTTTCATTTTTTTAGGATCCTAGCAAAGTACAGAATCTTGATACTTCTCCGGACTATCAACAACAAAAAAAAAACTGTCCAAAACTAACAGTTCGTACCATTCCAGGTCACATTCAGATATCTCGGAAGAGATTAAACACAATGACCAAGACCCTAGAAACCAAGGTTACTAAACTAGGGTGACCAGAAAATACATGTTAGCAAGGACACTTTGAGCTACTTCAGGTTTTCCAAACTACTTTTAAAACTCCTGTTGCTTGGCTAAATAGTTCAGTTCTTCTTGCACTTTAAATGGTTTGACTCGTCCAGCTGTTTCACATTAATATTAGTCACACATGCATGATTATAGGATACTGACCATTCAGCACACAGCAAGAACTCAGCACTTAAATGAAAACTAGGTGCTTTTATTTGACATGGTAGTTGACAAATGCTGCCCAAGCTCAAGTGCCCTCCCTGCCATGGATTATCTGGTCAGTGGTCACCTTAAGGCAGTATTTCCTAGAAAGTGAAAACTTCTTGTCCACTAAGTAAACTAACATAAAAATATATACATGTAGCCTAGATAGTCTAATATGTCTCGTCATGAATGAAAAGGCGCTTAATCTGTCAACCTACAGGAAAAGGATTTTTCCTTGTTATAATTTTCTAAATATAATTAAGATGTAGCGCTGGTAAAGAAAAGCATAGGTTCATTGTACAATGACAGTATATTCTACTCCTGGTTGCATTTCAGTATACATAATTAAAATAAATGCAATTTACCAGTGGAACATGCAATTCAATTTAATCATTAAATGTCTTAAAACCAGGAAACCCTGAACCCAAAACACTTGTACAAGTCGACATTCAGGCGGTCGCTGCTTTTAGAGAATGTTGGGTAAATTTGAAAAGTGAGTGCCACCTGGTGGATATTTTCTGGTATTTCATCGATCAGTATAACTGGCCGTATTACCTCTACCTATTGTTACACTATAATGGCCAATTGTACGGCTATCAATCCATCCATAAATTAAAGGGGGTTAAAAAAAAAGACAAAGGACGGTTAAGGCTTTGCTCAGCTTTATTTAAGTTTATATATAAATACACATGCACATCTCAAATGTAAACCAAGTGAACTCAAGTGCAGCCAACATTGAAAACGCCTGTCATGCGGGCTGTCAATATTAACTTTACATAAACCCCAAATTAAAAGGCTTCCTTAAAACACAGAACCCAGAAGGCTCCCTGACAGCACCGCCTAGCTGCAGGACGTCACCGAGTCCCGCAGGTTGCCGACTTCCTGGATTTCAGATACACTTACTGTGATAATGCCAACATATAAATAAATAAATTTACCAAATGTGCACTCACAGAGTGAACTCTTATGTACAGTATTTATAGTCTAATGAATTTATATGTCTCATTCAGATTAATATGGTAACTCCCCTCTTTCCAGCCCCAGGTATAAGGTACATAAGCTGTACCTCCAGCATTCACGCGGCTGATGTTAAAGGCAATGAAGTTCCACTATCAGAGGGGGGAGGGCGACTGGGGGGAGAGGACCGTGGACATACGTAGGAAATCGGCAGCGGTGGCCGAGGCCTCGCACACTGCCGCGACATCTTGGCCCTCCGATCTGTGCGTAAAGGCTTAGCCCCGAGCTGACAGCCATCCCGCTCCGCACAGGGTCACGCGGGAGGGAGGAGAACCAGGCGACACTGAAGGTTAGTCTGAGACTGACGTAAGGCTGCGGTGATCTGTCAGGACTGTGGGCGATAACACTTCATACACCTTGCCGGACGTTCATAATCTGGAGAAGCCTGGGTGCCTGAGTGGGCGCTGGTGGGCGGGAGGCAACGGTAAATCCTGAAGCCCCTCCCCCTTTAAAAAAAAAAGTGCACTCAGATCCAGAGAAAGGCCAGGTAACATACTTAGCCACATTCTCGAATAGAGGGGTGAAAAGAGCCAGCTTACAGAGCATATTACATATAAGGCTACGTCTATATCGACCTATGTGGTACAGCAGCTATTTCCTCCCAGCTCCCTGACAGACAGTCCACATTTTTGCTCCCCTCCTGCTACATACTGGGAGGGAGGGAGCAAAAATACAGACTGTCTGTGGGTCCCCGAGGGCCAAATAGGGAAACTGTGGTACTAGATCAAATTAAGTCTCAGAGCAGCATTCGAAAAATAAACACTGTGGATGTACTGCTATCACAAAAAGAGCATTACCCCTTAATGCCTGCCAGGATCCAGTGCAACTCCACGGAACAGACGCTTCAGCAGAACTTTTTCTTTTTAAGTGTGTAAGAGCCTGTGAGTGGCCTTCCGTACAAGTGGCACAAATTCTACCTATAAAACAGGGTGGCAGGGGGGAGCTGGCTGGGGGTGGGGGATACCAAACGTAACAGTCCAGCAGCTTCACCATATCTTTGAAAACCTAGACTCAGTGCGCATTTAAAGTATTTACAAGGCAAAAAACTGATATGCAAACGCATCAAGAAATTTAACACAAAAAAGCACAAGTTGCTGACAATCTTCTGGGTTTAAAAGCAAGCTCTGTATGGTTGCAAATACTGTCAGTAGGATTTACTGCCCCCCATCCTATTGAGAACATAATTAATAATAATAATATAGCTTTGAGTTGTGTGATGGGTGGGGTGTAGATCTATACATTCTGAATGCTGAGGAAATTAATTAGGGTTGAGCCTAAACAGGCTTGATTGCTTAGCAATTTCCTTTGTTGGATTCTTGTGTACAGTTTTTTCCCCCATTTTCACCCCCACCGGAAAGACGCCCCTGTGTCTTTATTCTCGGAACTACGTGTGGGGAGGGGGTGCATTTCCGCCCTGTTGGCCATTGTAATGGCTCCGGAGGTGACCGTGCCCTGCCGTCCGACTCAGTTGGTGCTCATGGTCATGTCGCAGCCGGGCTCCTGCTCGTCCCCGTCGTTCTCGTTCAGGTCCTCGCTGCTCTGCGCCGCGGCCGCCGCTGTTCCCTGGGAGGAGGGGGCTTCCTGGGCCTCCCGGTCCAGTGTGAAGTAACCGGTGCCGGAGACCGTGTCCCGCCGCTGGTAGAACAGTACGTACGCTGCCTTGGACTTGAAGGGGCAGAGAGGCATCAACCACCAAGAGCACAGAGACTCGACAGCCAGACTCTACTCAAGCAGGACTCAATGACCTGTCATCATGAGCCAATTAAAAATGAGGCCTAAGGCGGATCAGCCAAGCTCACCAAGATAAAATAATCTGGTTTAACCTAGGGGGTTCCCAGCTCCTAATTATACAAGTTTTACTAGTCTGTGCATTTTTTTTTTGTGTGGAAAGAAGCCTTTGTACACCCAGAATAATGGACCCGTTGTCACGTTCTACCGTCACACCACATAAGCGTGGATCCTGAAACGAATGGATCACTCACCACGATCTGGTCCTCGTTGGCAGGAGAAACGCTACTGTCATCGAAGTAATACCACTTGTGGTCGTCCTTGTTCTTCGCAAATGCGGTATCTGAGCAGAGAGATGACAGATAGCGTTCAAAACAAACCGACGGCCAGCTAAACCTAAAAGACAGAATGCAGTGGTCTTTGAGGGGGTCTTACAGTGTCCACCTCCCATTCCTCCGTAGTGGTTGGAAACTGCGATCAGGTCGTATTGGCACAGGCCAGCATTGGGGTTTATAAGGAACTCCGACATGTCCAGATCACTGCAGGGAACCACAGGCATATTTGAACACGACCTCACAGTTTTGTACATTAAGCAAATGGCGGTTATGAGCCCGAGCGGCTAGCATCCTCTGGACGAACCTCAGGGGGAAATCCACCAGCGAGTCCAGCTTGTCTCGCATGTAGCGGCTGTAGGAGAAGCGCTTGAGATGCACGACCAGGACCGGGGGGAGGGACCACAGATCCAGCTTCTTCGTGGCCTGTTGGTGCTGCTTGCAGTTGGGACAGTACCTGAAAACCACAAGACACAGATACACACACACACATGCACGCACAAACAGACACACAGGCAGACAGACACACAGGCAGACAGACACACAGGCAGGCACGCAGACAGACAGGCAGACACACAGACAGGCAGACACACAGACAGGCAGACACACAGACACGCAGACAGACAGGCAGGCAGACAGACAGGCAGGCAGACAGACAGGCAGGCAGACACACAGACAGGCAGACAGACATGGAGAAATGGAGAAAAAGGCATGCTCACAATGAACAGAGATGCAAAACAGCAGCACCTCTGACGACAGACCTCCTGCTTACAGGTAGTAACTGGATAAAATCCCATGATGCCAGCCCAGCCAATCAAAAACGAGTATTATAACTTAATAACTTAGTTAAACCAACCTGATTAACAGCAAGTGATAATCCTACCCATAGTGGGCTCTGACGCTACATTTACCCAGTCACTAGAGACAGAAATGTTACTGTAGGACTTGACCAAACGGGACTGAGTTAGGTGGATGAAACAGAAGTTGGAGATTTTTCATCCACTTCGGGTCTGGTCTCACTGAAGAGAGGCGTACCATGGATCTTCAGCACCCAGCTTCTCCTTGGTGGTGAACAGCTCAATGCAGTCCTTCAGTTTGCAGCTGGCTTTCTTCTGCGGTTTGTACTCCATGCTTTCGTGCTTCTCGAAATCCTGCAGGCCAAAGAAAACCGAGTCAGCCGGCGTCCTCTTTCGGCGCCGGCCGAAGTCGCCGCAGAAACCACAGTCCCAGGAGTCTCATACCTCTGCCGCGCTCTCGTCAAAAAATTTCTTCTTCAGCTCGGGTTCCCAGTCCAAGGAAAGATAGGATCTATCTGTTGTGAAAGGCCAACGCAGACACAAAACCCTTAAGACTGCTTTTTCTTGAACTTCACCTTGCTGAATCTTACGTGCTGCTCATGCTTACCACTGAGTCTCAGGTTCCCCTCGTCAAAGCGGATCTGTCGGGGCTCCTCCTTAATGTAGCTGAAGTCCATCTTGCCCATGTTGTTAAACTGGAATGTGAAAAGCCGCTTCCGCTGGCCCTCTGACTGGTGGCCTTTCGTCGTCTGCTCAGGACCAATACCATTCTCCAGATCATTGTCCCCTCCCACGGACTCTTCTGATTGGCTGTTGTCATTTTCTGATGGCAGTTCCTGGTCCTGACTGGACTCGTCGTCCTGTTCGTCTGTCTCCATCTCACCTGCAAACACCCGCCAGCTGTTACCTACGGGCTTCATTAAAATACCATCATACTCCGCAGTACCATCTTCAAGGGTTAATATGTCCCACAGGATTACCTACTTTGTCTTTATCGGACCAAAAATGCTAATTCAGTGCATCAAGAAAGGAGGAGTCCATAGCTCCATGGAATCAATTTTCATGGGCAGAGACATTTTGCTGTCAGATTAGAAAAGAATTTAAAACCTCATATCAACCGTCCCAGCCTTGTTCCATAGACAGTACCACTGCAGTATGATTTCAGTGTTGGCCAAGCTAACACATGAGTAAATTTAATTTCTTCGATTCCTTTGGACTAATACTAAAATGCACTCAGAAAATTAAATGTCTAGTCAAAACAATTTCGCCCCACACACAAAGAAAAACGTCTCTCATAAATCAGGCCCATGCATTATAATACTGCTGAATTGTAATTTCTCAGTTTGCAGAGTAGCTGGAACTTTGGCTTCAGTAAATGACACTCACTAGGAGAGCCTTCCTCCAGGACGCCATTGGAGACGTTGCCGTTGATCCCGTGCTCCTTGGAGCTGCACGTCTCCTCGGACTCCTCTTGAAAGGGGGTGGAGCGAACATACCGACTAGGAGGAGGATACAGTGTCAGAATGATTTCAGCCAAACCACCATCATTAAAAACCGTTCTCAACAACAAGTAGCTACTTACACGTTATAAAACAGGTAAAATTGCACGTCACAGTAGATGTGGCGCCCCCTGTCTGCAGATAAATGTTTCTGCACTGCAAATATGGTGCCCCCTATTGGCAGATTAATGGTACAGCAGTGTCAGGGCAGCTCCATACCACATCCGAAGCATCAGCATGTTGTAGAGCTTCTCCTCGCTGATGCTGCGAGGCACGGTGATGAGGAAGGGCTGGCCAAACAGCGGGGTGCTGGTGTGGTTGTAGCCTGACTGCTTGTACTTCTCCCGCAGGAGGACTGGGATGACCGCGTGCTCCGTGTCTTCTATCCGGCGGACAGCAACCTCGAAGCTGTGGACACAGGGAAGGGCGAGCGTGGCATAAAACACCACTGCACTGCACGGCACTGCACGGCATTGCACTGCACGGCACGGCACGGCATTGCACTGCACGGCACGGAAGGCAACCAAACCCCAGCTGCGACACTCACACATAAATGTCATCCCGTTCCATGATACTGCTCAGGTTCTCATTGGAAGCAAATATCCGGTGAAAGCGATGGTTGTATATGTCCGTCACGATCATCTGCGTCAAAGGGGGGGGGGGGGGGGGGGGGGGGGGGGGGGGGGGAGTTAGCCAGGTAGATACTGGGAGAGGGGACTGGAGGACGGAGAGCCTATGACAGGGTTACCTTGTCAGCTGGCAGACCAGACAGCAGGGAGAGAGAGTCGCAGAGGTCAGAGATGCAGCCCACCTTGGGGACAGTGAGCTTGTACTGAAAGACAGTCAGGTCCAGACCGGTCAGATTGCCATGTCGTATTTTTATCACTTGTGATTCGTTTTCACTCTCGTGATCCCACACCTGCATGGGTTTGGCGAGGGGGTCCAGCCGCACAAGGTAGACCTCCAGTGCACGTTCCTTCTTCATGGGCAATGGTAGTGTCAGGTAGCAGAAGGGGTCAAAGGTCACAGAGACCTTCGAACACACGGGGCAGACGAGCGTGGACTTGAAGAGGCCGTGGAATATGTCCACGATGATGGAGTCGTTCCTCTTTATGTGGTTCTCCCAGGCCTCCTGTGCGACGACCTAGCCCGGAGGAGAAAGCGTCCCTTTGTAACCAGAGCTTGGACACGCCAAGACACGCTATACTCTGGGTGTGGGAAGAGGTCCAAACCAACAGGTCAACTCATCAGGCAGCACTGGCATCCACACAGGGCACCGTCGTCTAAAGAGGCGCCAACTTAGCAAGGTGTTTGCCCCTTGAAGGCTGCCTAGTGCCCCACATGGGTGACCCTCACCTCATCCGCCCTGCCGTCGGCGTCCTTCAAGGGGATGTACGGCTTCTTCCTGATCCTGTTCAGGTCCTCATGTAGCCCGTCCAGCAGGAAGGCCAGAAGCTCGTGGGAATCCTGCTGCTGGTATCCGGAGAACTGGGGGGCGAAGCGGCCTACCTGCGTCTGAAGGTGTAGAGACATAGCGAGAGATGTGGACCACGCCGTCAAAGAGCCCCAGCGCCAGAGTGGGAGCCCTAACCCTCGGAGAGCTCACCTTGAAGGGTCTCGGTGTCACGTAGCTGTACTTCCCTAACCAAACCTGCTTGGTTAACTCAGCGTAGACCTTGGCGATCTCCCCCCTCATGCCCAAAGGGTTTTCCATGTTCAGCTCCTCCTGATACTTGTCCTTCAGGAAGTAGTCGGTCAGCGGGGGTATGTTGCTCAAGCACTGATGGAACAAGACAGGAGCAGTTTGAATAGCGCCCCCATGTGGGATGTGGTTAAATTGCATCAGCGATTGGTAGACCAATGGTAAATGGGCAATGGGAATTAACTGAGATTGATTTACATTGCAAGTTACAGTCCCCGAATACTTCATAAAGAAAACAGGCTAAATGTTTCTGAATGGCATGAGGCCAGAGAAGAAAAAAGTCCCTGTACTGGAGGAGAAACACACCTGGAAGCTAAATCCTTAGACTTCATTAATTTACATTTGTTTTTAGACAGAGATAGATAGCAAAACATAGATATAGAGAGATCGACAAAGATGGGCAGATAGATATACACAGATAGACAGAGATAGAGACAGTATTGATGCTGAAGGAAACTGCAGGCTTAACAGCAGAAAATAAATACAACTAAGCCATTAGAGGCACAACATAAATAGATACAACTAACAAGAAAAGATAACCAAAAAATAGTGCGGCATGCAAAAATGTACAGTACAGGTCTGGTAATTAAGGTCAGGAGAGAGACTCATTGCAGAACATTACAGCAGCCAGCGGAGCTTAGCTCAGGTTGAAGAGCTCTTCTGCAAACACCGGCAGTGGGCTGTATCGCAGCTACACACCATAAATAACCAGCTGCACAAGAAAGGCTGAAGGATCCACTTCAGCACAAAAACAGGAGCCGAGCGTCCGTCTCTTGACATGAACGACCACTTTAACACACGTCAGAGATACCAGGTTAGGAAGGAACACGGGAGGCCAAAGATACCTGGACAGCGGAGTTCATGAAGCAGGTGTTACCCAGATTGCAGAGTCCACACAGGCCGGGACGCTCACTGGACCGGCTCTGGTCGGGATACTCATAGCTGGCGTACGGCGGATACGACGGCAGGCAGTAGTTGGAGTTCTTCACGCTGCGGGAGACGGGAGGAGACGAGGCGGCTCATCGGACGGTGCGCACCAAGACGGCACGGCGACACACAAACAGCAGTCCCGCAAAGTAAATCAGAGAAGCACGAAAAACAAAACGGATAAAGGCTGACTGCAAAGCCACGGCACAGATTAAGTAACTGAGGAGGCGCGGTTCCCACGGAAAAGCAGAGAGCAGAGCCCCGGAACCTGCAGCGGCGGACGGATGATATCGAGCTGAAGGAAATAAATCAAAACCTGAAGGCTCAAATGAAAGGCTGAATCAATAATTAAAGAATCCGAATTTGTGGTGGGGGGGGGGGGAGTGAAAAAATAAAGCAGAACTAACAGAAAGTGGAGGGGAAGAGAAAAAAAATGGTGGGAAGCAGTAGCTGGTGGGACGGGACGGGAAAATGCGGCACAGCGGGTTTGTACCAGCGGTCTCTGCGGGCGGATTCACAGCCCCTCCTGCCCTCCACCCTCCCCTCCAGGTCCAGCTCGGCGCATTCCGGCCTCAGGCACCACGTGCAGCACACAAGCATCTCCTATCCGTTGCCTGCATGTCGCCCCTGCGTGCTTTCGCCGGAGAGGATGCTGGGCGCCGAGATCCGCACGCACGGAGGGAAGGGCAAAAAGAAAATCCGGAAGGGGGGGGGGGGGCCCTTCGGTCACAGGTGCGCTGGCGGCATCTTCAGGACCAGCATGACATCGGCGTCCACAAGCACCCAGAGAGCCTATTTATAGCGCCGCACAGATCGGGGGGGTGTGGAGAGCCTGGGGTTGGCGGGATGGCGAGCCGGCAGCCCAGAACCTCAGAGAGGCTCCCCCATGGATGGGAACCCATCCCCATACATGCTCAGGCGTGGGAGGAATGCGGCACTGTCGATCTGCCTCCCTCAGCAGCTTCGCTAATTAGAGCAACGCCGCCTTGAATGCAACCGGGGGGGGGGGGGGGGGGGGGGCTGGTCGGTAGCAGTTGGTAAACGCAGCATCAGCGGCTACCCGGACGGGAGTGGGATCTACGGGGGGGGGATGGATGGCGAGGGATCATTAAGGTCATGGGGGGGTGGGGATGAGAGCGTACCCGTGGCCCCCTGGCCCAGCGCCACCAGCTGGCCGCTTAAAGGCGCATTCAGCTTGGCTCATCACCCCAGGGGGAGGGACAAGCAGCAAGTGCAGGACAGCACTGCCTGGCAGCTTCCCGAGACGACCCCCCCCGCCCTGGACATTAACGCTCCTTTCTGCCCTTGTCGGGTGGGGGGGGGGCTACTTGGGCCGGGTTACACGTTTCCTGCTGCCTCACCAAATTCTGAAACTAGTGAAAACCGGCAAAAACAAAAAAACATCCAGCTGACGGTGGATTATCAGAATGACACAGCGAATGCCTGGGCCCCCACGAGCCAATCACATCATGCGTAACAAACGAACCGAAGAGAGACAAGCGCTGCTATTGGCGAACTCGGGATAACAACAAGACATGCAAACGGAGCTCACAAGGTAGAAACACACACAGCTCCGGAAAGTTTCAGGACTCGCAACACCCCAACCCCCCCCCCACCTCAGCCCTCCCCCCGCCGTGGCTGGCGGACACCCGATGGAACACACACCATGCAGCGACGGCGCGGGCCAGGCTGCCCGCCGCGAGCCGCGAGTCACACCACAGCTCGGAGACGCTTACTTCCGCTCGTTGAAGCCGTTATAATTGTTTGAGAGAGACGAGGGGGAGATCTTTGGTAAGGTCGATAGAGTGGAAGCGCCTGACGACCTTCAAAGATAAGAACACCAGTGATTAGCAAAGAAGGCTAAAGGATTTCGCATTAGCGCTTGTAGCAAAAGGAAAAGGCAAAGTTATAAATGCACCAATAAAGAAAGACGTGAGATGTGCTAATATGAACTGAAAACAAAACGATCTACGGGTTACGGAAAAGGAGGAAAACAACGACCTTAAATGATGTCAGAAAAGAATAAACAAAAATGACAACAGAGCATCCTTCCCAACAACCAGCTCCCTCACACTGGTTCCTATTGGCCGTTTCCCCAGTCTGGCCAGTCACGTCCTGAAGCTAGAAACCCAGCTGTCTTTGACATGGACAGGAGGCAGAGAGCCAGAAGAGGCTAGGGTTACACTTTAGGGTCATTTTCACGAAGGTGAGATTTTTTTAGGGAAGAAAAAAACACTTCACAATGAAATACAGCCAATTGACATCACCTTAACTTTTTAGGGATATTAAAATGATATAATTTGTTGCTGTTTTCAGTATTTTTTAACCATTTCCCCCCAAATAGACATCCAAATATGTGATAGCTGTAAAAGGTTTCAGATCAAATAAAACTAAAGTCCATAAAATGTTTTTAATTCTTTCAACTTTATTGCATTTAACCCACCCTAAACAATTTGTATGATAAGATATTATTATAATATATTTTTTGCTCAAACTTTTTCTTAGTTTGGGCATTTTTTCCCTCATCTTTACCTCTTGCCCCGGATTTCATGAAACACTTCTGTTGGCAATGAAGTTGCATAATTCTATAAATTAGAGAAAACTGATGTGTTCCCGTAATGAAATGTGCATTAACGCGGATGATGGAAAACAGTAATGGCGATGAACATTGCAGCATGGTATTTTATTCTATTTGGTCCCTTAGTTTAGTTATGATGGCTTATCTGCTGCCATGGTTGCGTATTGTTTGCTTGATCTGTGTTTGTGATTTCTGCAAATGGGCCGACGCTGCTGTGGGGAGGGTTAAGGCTACGGAACGCTGGCTGTCTGTCTTTCGTTCTGTTCCATATATTTTGCTGCATTTTCTCTCCAACTTATATTTTGGCTTTCATGTTTAGGTATCAGTTGTGCAGGAGTTTTCAACTGACCCTGTTGAAAGCAAATTAAATACAAATAATTAGGGACACAATTGACTGGAACTACTGGGATTGTACATGACTCCTATAATACTCTTAGCGAGACAGTTGAAAAAGCTACAGTATTATAGGTGCCATCAATTAAGAAAATAAAAATTCACCTAAAATCATTCTCATTGTATTATTCCCCGTCATGCTAGCAGATATTCAAATTAGGGTTGTTTTGTCCCCCTAAGGGAAAAATACTACAATGAAATATAATGGTAAATTTTCTCTAAATACTACAATTTCAATTGTAAACAGTACTGAGAAATAACTGTTGCAGTACTGAGCTGCCTTTAGTTTTGCAAATACTGGGGACAGCTACAATGACCTTAAAAAAACACACTTCAGGAAATGTTACCAAATTTCTTATCAATAACTTATATCAACATAACATTCACTTGTTGCAGTAATGATTTCCAAACTGTGAGGTTCAAACTAAAAAACATTCATAAAATTTGAGCAGAGAGAGAGAGCCTTCTCTGTTTAATCTTCTGTTCTTTGTGATGCGTTATGGGTAGAAAAACACTTGACAGCATTAATGTAGTATTGATAGGTTTTTTGGAAAAATCACAGTAATGAAGAAACATTGCAAAATGAATTTTGTGACTTAGAGCAGGACACACGGTGAATTCTGCATGTCCGTTGGTGATCAAAAGGGGCCCCAAGGACCTCAAAAGGGGGTCACTTTCGATCATTCTGCCAAAATGGGCGTGGCACCACCAGCCCCCCCAAACACACCCCTGATGTTTATTGTAGGAAATCAAAATGTATTTTATTTTTATGTAAAATTTTGATTTAAAAGCTATAAGCAGTGCAGTACAAAAATACTATAACATGTTACAGTAAAGTGAAAGTAAAAGTATTGTAAAATGTATAAAACCCTCAAAAGACTTCCATAGCCCATGAAACCTCACAGGCAAACCAATCATCATAAAAAGAATATGATTTTTTTGTAATTTTTTTCAATATACTGGGCTTGGACTTTTGATTGTATGAGTTCGTGAGAATGACCCTTTAAGAGTGTCGTACCTGCTGACCACGGGCATGCTAATGCAGGACTAGCAATCAGAGCTGCACAGTTGCTGTCAGTCAGGGACAGGGAGCAGCCACAAGTTCTACAGTTAGAACTAGAGACTGGTTCAAGCTCCTGTCAGCAAACTAAGCCCCCCCCCCCCAATCACACGCACACACACACACACACACACACACACACACACACACAAATATACATACATACATACATTCTACAACTTATTGGCCAGGAGCAGAGTAGCCCCACCCACAAATCCTACCCCACGTCACAGCAAAGCCACAGTCACACACTCACTTGGATGTAGAAGAACCTCTTGGCCACGTTCCATCCTCATTTTTTTGCTCTATTACAAGAACCTGTAGGGAGAACCATCAATTCATAAATTTCCTTGCAAGCATTTGCTTCTACATGGATTCAAAGTTCATCTCTGCACATCAATCACGGCAAACGTGTTGGCTGTTCACTGCAGGCGACACAATATGTTCAGGGTTCCTCAAAAATCAGCCCTCTAACCTCAACGGCACATCTCAAACGAACTCTTGCGTTAGGGCAGGATTTTCGAATGAATGTGAGCAGCTGGCTGATGTACATTGCCGATGTTAGTTGCGTGTTCATTGCTTGTGCCTAAAGGGGGCAAATTCTTGTAAATGGGGAAGAATTTGACATGACAGAGTTTGGCTGGTGTGACGTTACTTAGACACAGTTAACAATTGCCAAACGTGATATTTAGGTATTGCGGCCACAATAGCGCGTGATGTGAGGATCTTGAACATACGTCACTGCCAGGACGAATCGTTAGTGCTGAACGAGCAAACTGACTGTCACGTTAACGTTAAAGTGTAATGTTCTCCAGCTGTGCGTGACAAGTACGCAGGTAAACAAAGGGACGAGGACCGGGACATGCTCTTGGGCACGTGGCCTTGATCACTTGAACCCAAGCCACACACCTAGCCAGGCAAGCAACAAAAAAGGGCCATTAATTAATAATGTGTCCCACAGGGGGGAGGGGAAAAAAATGAGTCTGGCAAATGCAGTGAAAGCAGATGACTGATAAGTCTGCAATGCAGCATGTCACAGCAGGCACTGTATCGATCAATCAATTAAACCAATTAAACAAAGAGGCAACAGACACAGCAAATGATAATGCGGCAATTAATGAAGGATCATCCAATCACACGGCTTGTTAGTGTCCCGCTTCAATTTTGCCGCTCTACATCCTACATTAACAATCCACAATGGGCAGTACAGGAGGCAAAGTAACCTGAAGGTCCCAGATTGAAATTCGGGTAAATGTGAAACATCTGATGTTTCACATTTAGATACTCGACCATCTCAGACAGCCGGAAACAGCCTCAGAAATTTACAGCAGCATGAGGCACAACTTCAGTCTATTGAGAGGACAGATTTGTGGCCAAGCCAGGACGACTCTTAAGCCCAATGCTCCAAGGATGGCGGCTGGCCTGAAGCTTCCCACACTTCTATGTCACTTTGGATGAAAGTATCAACTCAATAAATGTAAAGTGTAAAGAGGAGATTGAAAACCCAACTGGCAACCACTCACAATGTAAATGCCGTCTCCTAGGGGACATGGGCTGTACATGATGCCAAAAATACTAGAAAAAGGCATCTGAATAGTAAAAGTCAAAGGGGGTTGGGGTTTCTACTTATTAAATAGCCTAATTTTCCATTGTGTGATTTGTGTGAACTTCCTCTGGATCCTGCATCCCTTTATTCCTGACTCCAGATATCCCACTGGCAAAGCAGCCACGGAGAAAAGCGCACATTGCCCAAAGAGTGGAAAGGGGGGCGCCAGTGAGGCAAATTCTTCCCTCACTCCTAAGCCTTCACTGTACTGCAGGGCTAATGGGTTTAGCGCTTTTCAGCTAAGCGGCAGGAGAACAGAGATACAGTGCCAGGTACACAAAGGCAAGGCCAAACTCCTATAAGCTGTGGCCTTACTTTCTGTTAATGTCTCTTGTCTAGCAGTGTGTGACCCCTGGGAATGTTCTAGAACGCAGCACCTTAACTGCTGCTCAAATCAGCGGCTCCAGCCAGAATTAGAGCTGTGTACAGTACCGAATCAAAAAACCAACAGCCAAAGCGGAAACATGTATTATCTTAATCAGAATCCAGATAAACTAGCATATCATGCATTCAATGGTAAGTTTTTGAACTCACGGTTAATCACCAGTAACACTGCCTGGCATTGTTACCCACCTCATCTGAGCCCTGTCCTCCGACCGCATTCTGTGACTGAACACAGAGAACACACGTTAAACACTGGCATCGGGCTGTGGTGGGCAAACATGAGGTGGACGCCTCTCCATGGGACCCTGCGCTACCGGACTGTGTCATCGCTGAGTCACGGTCACCATCAGCGTTCGCGGCGACACCTTAACGAGCTCGACTGCAAACGTTCATGCCGTCGACCGCGCAGGGAGGGGACTTAATCAGTGTGGGGACGTGGGGCACAGAGACTCCAGCGCCATGCTCGTGTGACATCAACAAAAGGCCAAACAAGCTGGGCTGTTTACACTTTCACAGTAGATCCCCTAATATCTACCGTCCATTTTAGCAGAAGACTTTCATACATGGGCTTGAAAGAGAAAGTGAAACAATCCAGCTTGAGAATAAAGGAAAGATGAAAAGAAAAAGTAAGGGCAGTGAATGACAGTGACCACAAACTCTACACCCACCAGGGTCCGCAAAACTACAAAGGCAGCTCAGATTCTCAATGGTCTGGCTCGCACAAAGCCTGTCCACCAAGGTCCATGATTCACAACAGCGGGGACAGACCCGCAGCACACTTTCAACACACTGACCCAAATTTCCACATTGCAGTTTATGAAAGAAAAAAAAAAAACTACTATACAAGAGCTGAGAAAATCACGGACCTGTTAATGCAGTCACTTCTGTGACAGAACCAACCATGCTGCACGTGTTAAGACGAGCCTAATGGAACCAGGTGGCAACGTCCGAGAGTCTCAGGACCTAAAGAGCCTTTAGCAGACACAGAAAGATGACTGGCGGGAGGGGGAATCCCCAAACAACGACTTTAAACCTTAGTGGTGTGGGCCTCTAATCAAGCCCGGGATTTGGGTCTCAGTCAGGCATCTGGACCTAGCCTGTAATCAGGACCGGACCAGACAGGCCTGGACCAGATGGACCCAATCAGGGCCGAATTCTACCTCAGAACACCAGAAGAAGCAGCCATTCCGAAAAGGACTCAGTGACATAACTATGCATGTATTTAGTGTTCCGCAACATCTACCACGTGCGTAAATGTGTCCCGGACAAGGAGTGATAAGGAACGCTTTGGAGAAAACGCCACGTGTGGCATCAGTAGCAGGGACCACATGCCAAGGTGTGAGCAGCGCCCCCCCAGCCGTACCTGTCCCTGATACAGACCAGCATCCTGGATGGTGCTGTCAGGCTTATTAAGGGGTTCGAAGGTGTTGCTCATGTACTTGTTCCACAGCCTGGTCTCCTTCTCATCGGGAATGCTGAACAGCTTCCTCATCTCCTTCTCAATGGTGTCTTCGGCAAAGAAAAACAAACGCTTCTGTTGTTATCAGTATGGGAGAAGACAGAATAGCCTGACATCTACAAAACACTAAGACAGATTAGAAGGTTTCTTAGAAGAGGTGAGATGATCCCAGCCATAAAGAATTAAGAAAGACCATCAATGATGTTATAAAACACTAGATTTCTCAGATGCAGACTAAAGCTAAACAAGGCATGTTGTTCACTGGATGCCTACGAGGTCTACACAAATGTTCTGGCTTGAGGTGATTTTCAGACGGTCTGCCAGCGCACCACATGAACAGCGAGAGATCCTCACCTATAGTGTCAGCTTTGCTGAACCTCCGGGTGACCACATTCTCCATGTTGCTGTCCTCACACAGCTTCAGCTCCGTCAGGTACACCTCCACCTTGCAATGTTTCACGAACATCCCCTGCTCGACCACCTGTGGGGGGGCGGGGGGGGGGTGGTGGAAGAGGAGCCGCTCGTTACCCTCTTTTGGCACGTTCTGACGATTCGGTCCTGACCTGACAAAATCTTCTCCCGCAGTCGCTTCAGGAATAAGTATCTGGAAGGCGAGAGTGGAGACCAAGGATGCAGATCTGGGGAGCCTCTAATTCCCAAACCATCTCGGAGCATCGCTTATTAGTTTCGGAAAAGCCACTGGACTGTAGCTGTTGCCCTGGGGTACAGCACAGCGTGTCCCGCGGAGTCAGTCGGCGGATTTCTACACCTTTCTACACCGCATGTCAGGAGAGACTTAATTTAGCGCTGTGGCATGGAGACAGCTGGAGGGTCCCATCCTATTTATTTCGCACGGCCTACAAGCAGCTAGCCAGCCCCCACTGCCCGACGGTAGACAGCATTCAGACTTTCGAGAGAGATTCTCATTTACTTCCTTCCACAAAACCGCAGATACTTTATGCAACCATCAAAAAGGGGTTAAAACATTAAAACAAGACCCTAGAGAACAGCATGGAAAAACCAACCCCCCCTCCAACTGCCTCCCCCCCCTTTTTAACATGACGGACCATTCCGGTTTGACCTCCGCGGGTTCTCTCTCCCTCAACCCCCCCTCCCCCTGTCCCCTCCCCACCCCTGAGCATTAAACAAGGATACCGGCACCATTGGATTAACTCCTGGAGGGCATGCTGAGCCAAACCAAAGAGCAAAGATCCGACCAGGATCTCGGTTACATCCAGCCATCAGAGCCCACCAATAAAAAAAAACACGGAAAGAAACTACCTCCTCCATGTTTGTGCAGCGGACGGCTCCCCAAGGCGCGTGTCATCCAGACTGCTCCGAAAATAGAAATGTGACAGCTATCCGACACCCTTTACATATATGGCGAAAGGGGAGGATCGGCCAAAGGAAGAAAGGACACCGCCATTCTGCCATGGCCGGTCAAGCAGGGGAACAAGCAGCCATGTGTCGTGGTGGTATAGCCGTGCACGGACGGCTCTGGCGGGAAAAAACCAGCACGCAGATGTGACAAACATTTCTGCGACGTGACCCTCAAAACAAATCTGATCCAGGCTCGATATGGATCTTCTTCCGCTGAGGCCAATAATATGTTAAACTAAAATTGAGTCAATTAAAAAATGTAACGCATTCCCCGGGAAGAGCAGGTGTTAGGAGACCGTGGTCTATTTCAGTCGTCAGCAAATGAGCAGATTTAGGGGGAGAAATTTCTACCGAACTGGCCCTTGCAGTTTTGGATCTCTTGGCTCAATACCTTGTATTAAAAATACATATTTTTTAAAAATAAGTATCTTGAATCCATGGATGCCAAAAACACACAACTTCATTTATATATTTATACAAAGCGACACTTTTGAGAAAGCAGGGGCAGCCACTCCCTGGAACAACCAGGGGTTAAAGGTCTTGCTCAGGGGCTCAACAATAACACCGCTCTGCCAAACCTGGGATTTGACACAGCAACCTTCCGATCAAAGGCAAAAAATCCTAACCCAATGAGCCACACACTGCCCCAGAAGAGAGACAGACAGCAAACGTACAGCAAAGGAAAACCACAAAAAAAAAAATGGCAAAATGCCCTAAAGAGCCCACAACCCTAATTAGATCCAAGCCCAATTAACCACAGTACTGTGTTTAGACAAGGGAGGCGTACCTTGCGTGCTATTGGCTCCTGGTTTTCCATCAATCCATACCAGCTGACCAGCTTATTCCAGCCCTCTGTAGGGACGAGAATGTAGTCCAACTCGTCGATGAGGTGCTCCTTGAGGGCCAGCGCATCCCCATCTGTAAGCCGAGAGGGAGCGGATGCTGATCAGCGGCACGGGACACACGTCAGCACTCGCCACCTCATGCTCATGTAATCACACATTACAGCACTCCCACCTAAATGCTAGCGCATTTAAAAATAATCTTTCAAGGCTTGTCCTCCTCAATGTCTTTGTGATGCTAATTGAACTTATGACAAATTGTGGGAGTGACCTCATATTTGCAATAGTGTTGAGAGCAATCTGTGGATGTGCGTTTCTGAAATCACGGTACACCCATTGTGTACAGGATTCAGGTTACCAGAGTGACTCTTACCTTTAAGCAGTCCGGAGTTGTCCACTGGTCCAGGGTAGACATTTTGGTCACCCATCTGATATTTGTCCCAGCTGTCAAAGCCAACATATTTCTTCCACTGTTTGAACCAGCGACTGTCTACTAAATACCTGCGTAAAAAAAAATATTATATAAAAACACAGAAGGGTGCAGAATGTGCAGAACATGCGTCGTACCTAATTTCAAACCGTTCAAATTCTGCGGTACCGTTTCAAATCACTGTGGTCTCTAGAGAAAAGTGCAGGGCCAATGAGATCACTGCCTGTCTAAAAGACTAGTCAGCAGTTACGGAAGCATCATCTTCCCTTTGCTGGGATTACGTGTCCGTCCTGCCCGTGCCATCATATTTCTGAATGAGCGCCGCTGCCCATCCAGGCAAATTTCCCTGCAGATAAACTTTTCACACCCCCAGCAGTAAATGCATACCACAAGTCAGTATTACAATTACGGCCAACTGGGTCCAATGCCAGACTTAAGCTGCGCTGCCTTTATTACAGGCTCAACTTTTATGTCTTTGGTGAAGCATGGATGCCAAAATGCCGAAATGAGGTAGAAAAACAAACTCAGTTGAATGAATATCTAAATACAAACCACAGGCTCTTTAGTGCCGTTTTGAAACCAGCTGGACTGTAAAACACAGCTATCAGAAATCTGCACAGCTTTTAAAAGGGAAGCTCTGACTTCTCATTTACTGAACGGACTGAACTCCATAAGCTTCGCAAAGTTTACGTATTATCCACCGCTCTTAAAAAGACATTCAAATTAACTGAAACACCGTCAATTTACCAGTGAATTTAACGTCCGACAAATCTTTTCTTCTTAGAGTTGGGAAAACGCTTTGTCATAACTTCAGATGATGGGCTTTTAATGAAACATAATGAACAGACTATTTAACAAGTTAAGCATTTTGAAATTCCTAGTAGTGTTAGGTTGGGTCTAGTAACAGAGACCATCGGTCACGAACAGCAGGAATTATGTTGATCAGAGGTTGTGTAATTCGTGTTTATGCTGATCAGACACCCGATTACTGGCAAGAAAGACACGCGACAGCTGCTTTGTCATCTTCTGTAGGGGCTGTGTCGTCCAGGCACTCTGTTACTTGTGTTTACTTGGATTGGTTAGTCGATTATTGGCATTTAAGCCGATTGGGAGGTCGATCATCAGCATGAAGTATTCCTGACAGCTGATTTCTCGGCTCTTCGCCCCGGTTCTCAAGTTCAGCGCGCGGGTCGCGAGCCTAATTTTAATCTCGCCGGTTCCGCCAACTTCGAGCTCGTAAACCCCTCGCCGAGAGCACACGGACACGGACGGCCACAACCGAGCGCCACAGGGCCGGTCTCCGGAGAAGTGCCGCGCCATACCGAGTAGGTCGCGGCTCTGCCTGAGGAAATAAACGGAATGCAGCTGTCTGAGAGCCGCGGCCTGTCCGCCCCTGTTACGCCGTCACGAAGCCTGACAGCTCGGACAGGCTCGGCCGGCGCGACCCACGGCACTCCGAAACGCCGGTCAATCGTCTCTCACCACGTATCTCCTTTTCGCAGCTGCGTTTTTAGCAATCCGGCGACCTCTCCGCGTTGTGTTTCTAGATCGGCCGCTCCTCCCTCCGCCATCTTCCTTTAACATGGCCCCGGTGCATACTGGGAAAGAGGAGCGTCACCGCGTTGACGACACGGCACGGGCACGCGTTCTCGGCCAATTAGATCGCGGCGGCGAAGTTCAGTGCGAAATATAACCAGACCCGATTCTCCCGTTATCCTGAGCAGGAGGTAATGTGGCGTGTGAATGCATTATGGATCCATTAACACCGACTAAATTAACTGGAAATCAGCAACACTGCTTTTTGATATATTCTTACTTTTACTAAAACGGGTGCCCGTTTTAGTAAAAGTAAGTATGAATTTAAATACTCATGGGATCTGAGCATTTAGGAAAAGACACAATGGTCATTTGTAAACGTCATAAGCAAAAATGCTTTTGCATTTGATTTTATATAGTAATAGTGATTAGGCATTATAACTATCAGCACAAAAAAATATGACTTAATAACAATAATTACGTAAGGTTATGTTTGTTTTGGAACTCTTGTCTTTATTTAAATGTTAATTCCCAGAATTTTGAATACGAGCATGAAATTCTCCGTAGATGCTCTCACGCTGGACTTTTGAAACATGATAAATTTCGTAATGCTTTATAATGCCAGAACTGTTCTTAATTTTACTTAATTCTATTCTTTAAAACCAATAAAATTCATGCTATAATGCAAATCTTTCATTCATTCAATATTAAGAATGCTTCATTCATTCTGTATTGGAAAATAGCTGTTAATACCTCATAGTGAGAATGAGGAATTTTAATTTTATTTCAAATACCAGTTATAAATGTATTGAAGGAATCCTCATTTTCTACTTTTAATATGCCACACTATTTCCCTACATTTATACCTTACGTTACAGTTAAAGTTATACTTTATCAGCATTAAAACTTGAAGCATGTTACTTCCTTAAAAAACATTAAGTCTTTGGAAAAAGAACAACAAAGCCCAAACATACAATTAATGTGACTGGTAAAGTTCATAGTATAGCCTAGATTATGCAGATGTTTGTTTTTTTTTTTTTTAATTCCACTGGTTCTTAAAATATTTTTATTTATGGCTTGAGCAATTCTCTGGTTTGAATAACACACACTACTTACAGGAATACAGCCAGTTTCATTCATATGAAACATACATTTTGTTTGATACAGTCTTCCAAACTACAGAACATTTTTATTTCATGTTGCATGTATCACAGACAGCATTTAGAAGAGAAATTGTGTTGCCTTGTTTTCCCTATTTCATCAGAGCTACTGGAAAATATCACATCTGTAATGAAAACAAATACAAGTGATAGTGTACAAACACTCACTCATTTCTGCACTATTTCAGTTGTCTCAAATGGAAATGTTATTTAGTATTACTGGCATAAAATTTGCATTCAACAAGATCTTAAACTAAGACCCTGTTTAAAACTTGGGAAGTGGAAGTTAAACATTTGGAAGCCTAAAGTATACTGTTGCAGAGAGTATTATAAAGATCAGTTTAAGACCACTTTAAAATCCAGTTTTTGTACTATTATTCCTATAGAAAAAAATGAACAGTTAGATAAAAAATGGAACACATTAATTCCCATTACTGATATACCTCAAAATATCACATACCTGTGTAGAATTCAACATATTTACAATTGAAAATGTATTTAAATGGAACAAGTAAGTTCAGTAAAGGTTAATTTCTTTGAATCTTCAATGAAAATTAATAATTGCTAATTTGATTTTGTCCTTCAGAGGTTGATGAAATAAGGCCTCAGTCACCACAGTGTATAACTAGGTGGAGATACTTCTTCACATTGTTTTGAATTAAAATGAAATAAATTCTTTTCAGCTTTTTGCATGGGTGCAGATTGTAACAGACAACCCATTTTTGTGCCACATGTGTAATCTTAGTGATTACAATAAAAATTCTGGGTTTCCTGGATTTGTGACATGCCCAGTCAGGCACACACCTTAGCTAAAAAATATTCTGAAAAAATATTCTGAAGATGCAGCACATGAATAAAATGCCTTACACATCTTTAGATAATACTGAATAAAAACATTTATTTTATTTTTTTTGCAAATCTCTCCACTACTGAAAAATACAACAGCATGTAATATTGTAACTTCTGGTCCCTTTCCTGCCACTTGGATGGATAAACAGCAGCATGGACACTACAACAATGACACTGAGGATGGATCGGGTTTGTTTGTGTACCAAGAAAGGTGGAAAGTGTCGTTGGGATGGAAGGCTGCCTCGCTACAGCACTGGCAGATATTTTAACAAGAGCCCCCAAAGCTACAGTAAAACCTCGGATTGCGAGCATAATTCGTTCCGGAAACGTGCTCGTAATCCAAAGCGAATTTTTCCATTAGAAATAGTCAGATGATTCGTTCCACAACCCAAAAATATTCATAAAAAATTATTAATTCAAAATATAAAGTAAAAATACATAAAACAAATTAACCTGCACTTTACCTTTGAAAAGAATCGTGGATGGTGTGAGGGAGACGAGAGAGAGGAGAAGAGGAGGGTTATTTTGTAGGACGACTTTCACTGTAACTAACGGAATCACTGCTATCTGTTGGTTCACTGGAATCTTTTTCTTTTTGTGCGACTTTAACAAGGAACCTATACAATGACAGCCGCTTTTGCCTCCTTTTCGATTTTGCGGAAATGTGGACATTGCATTGTCGTTAAACCGATTCATCGCTCGGACTGCTACACCCTTATTCGTGTGGTGCTTTTCTACTTATTTTGACTATAGGAGTGAGGGACGCTGACTGAGACCGAACACGGTAGACGATTACCCACAATCCTGCAGCAAGAGAGAGAGAAGAACCATTGGCTCAGTTGTGATCACGTAATGCTAGGCAGACAAAGCGTATACATAATACTCGTATTGCAAGACCTCGCTCGTTTATCAAGTGAAAATTTATTTTTAAATTTTGGTCGTCTTGCAAAACACTCGCAAACCAAGTTACTCGCAATCCGGGGATTGACTGTATTGTCCTGGGGTGATGGATTCTGGGCTGGCATCAGCTCCGATGCTCATTTCTCTGTTATGTTTGAGGTATCAAGACATAGCAGGTGTCCAATGTTCAGAAGTTAGACTCCTTTTCCTGTAGAGGAATGTAGTGCTCCTTGCTGGGCTCCAGTTGCAATTGGACGCCTTCTCCATCAGGGGCGAAGATGACCTGCAGTTTCTCCTGCTCCCTCTTGCTTTTCGGCAAATCATTGGAGGGTTGGGTGAGGTGGGAAATGCGCTAGTAGATGAAGAGAGAGGGGGGACAGAATGTTCACGCCTCAGGGTCTACTGTAAGATACAGTATCAGTCAAAAGTATGTTTTAGCTATGTTATTCACCCTATAGCAAAAGGCCTTGAGGCAATGAAGTAATACATATCAAATATTGCAATGACTAAGAGAAGTGTTCAACATCTCAAAATATTCGCAGATTTTAGACTGTTCGAAATGGCCCCCTTTCGCTTTGATGACAGCATTGCAGACTCTTGGCATTCTTTCAGCCACCTTCTAGATGTAGGCACCTGAAATGCTTCTCCAACAGTCCTGAAGGAGTTTCCACAAGTTCTGGGCACAGGTTGGCTACCTTACTCTTACTCTTCAACCCAACTCGTTCCAAACCAGCTCATTAGGGTTTAGGTCAGGGGACTGTGGGGGCCTGGTCATCTGTCACAGTACTCCATCTCTTTGCTTATTCACAGGATAATGCTTACTACCTAACCTTAAGGTGTGTGTAGGATTGTTAATTTGTTGAAAAAACAATTGATTTTCAGTAGCTGTGTCCAGATCAGGGCATGTGAGCGGAGCGTGAGCGAGGAGCAGAGCGGTCGGAATTTAGTCAGAGCGCGGAGCGGTCGCTCTGTCTCGCTCCAATTTCGCTCCGATACCGCTCACACTACGATTCTGAGGCGTGCCCAAATCTACCAAGAATTCATCTGTACAATTATCAAGACTATTACAGAAATTGGCCGAGATGGAATTCGCAAAGTATTTCACAAAGGAAACTGATAGATCATACAAGTGTAATATTCTTATGAAACGTATAGATGACAATAATGTAGAGCAAGAATAACAAGGTGGTGAAACTGTTTCAGTGAGTAAAGATTCACTTTGGAATCATTTTTCTCAGAAACACGAGCGTGTTTTATGCGAACAGACGGAAGCCAGAGCAAAACCTGAGTAAGTTTTATATGGTTGTAGTATACCTATATCAAGTCTATAAATTAAAGTATAAAAGCCTATATTGGTAAATATTGGTAATCAAATAAATTAGTTTTGTCATTCAAAGTTGGTCTAATAGGATTTTTTTAATTTCACGTAACGCTGTTAGTGAAATTTTATTTTATAGAGACGCAGCAGCAGCATCAACAGAAAAAATTGAGGAATTTAAAACGTAGATGCTTAGCCTGTATATTCTTTAGACTATTAAGACCATTGATTCCTTTATTTTTAAGCCTATTTTTGTGTGGAATGCCATTGCCAAACGTGTCAGTTGTTGCCTATATATGTTGCTTAAAAAAATATTTTCTGAGTGGCAATGTTGCCGTTGCTTATATTTCTTTATGATATAAGGCTTCGGTTTAAGGTGACATTTGTTAGGCATGCAGATTATATGTCCCTCTTTTAAATTGGAGCGAGCGTGGAGCGATTTCACTGGAGCGGGAGGAAATTTTAGTGGAGCGAGGAGCGTGTTGAGCGGAGCGGCGTAGTGCGAATTAGAGCGGAGGAGCGGGCGGAGCCAACAGCCTAGTGAGCGAGGAGCGGAAATTCTCACCGCTCCACTCCGCTCACATGCTCTGGTCCAGATGTTTGACTAGTATTGTTCACGTACTCAAGGAGCAAAAGTTTGACACATTTCCTTTCAAAAGTACTATACACATTTAAGATGTTTCTATGTCGCACCTTTCATAACACTTGACAGGAGTGAGTGGGAATCTATTACTACATCATTTACACAAAAAGGTGCATGAAACAGGGGATAAGAGGAGAAGAAAAGAAAGAATGCTGGAAAATCTATGACTCTACTGCATCTCCAACCTTGGCAAAGGTTAATAAGAAGCCAAGCAACCCAGAAAATAACAAATACATTGGCGATACTTCAATCCCCAGGGATGCTCACCTCTCTCAGCGAGCCCTTGGTGGTACAGAGCTTGTAGGCCACCCAGAGTGGGATGCAGACCATGGAGGAGAGGGCCAGCAGCCAGCCCAGGGCATAGCCCCACCAGGGGTACACGTACTCATTGTTGTACTTCAGAGGAGTGTACTTAATGAGGGAGAATGCGAACGTTCCCTTGGGAGACAAAAGGCGGGATCATTTTCAGTTGGTTGTTGTTTTGTAGTCCTCAAGCTCCACAGATCCGATTGTAGCTAAACATGAGTTCTTAATTGCTACTTCTTTAGACACAGCTTATGAATGAAATTGTCAGTTTATGAGATCTGTATGTGAATGTACTTATACATTCAACTTCAAATATTTGTGATTTTTTTTTTGTTCCCTGGAACATCTTATAGCCTATTTAAGTGTTTAAGGCTTGTGCCTCTAGTGACATTTTTATTGATTTGATAAAAAACTATCCATCCATTTTATGTAACCGCTTGTCCTATTGAGAGTCATGGGGAGGAAGGGGTGCCTTCCCATCACAGGGCACACTCATGCTAACCACTGTGTCGCCCATAATAAAAAATATATATTAAAAAAATGCAATGACAGAGAGAGAGTGACTCCTAAAACATCCTCAATGCTTCATATTTAGTTTGACAGAATGTTGTATGGCGGGGCATTGATTAAAGGAAGGAGGCGAATATCACCCACAAAGCAGGTTGCTGGGGAGAAAACCAGCCAGCAGTACTTCATGAAAGGGCCAGGCCGGTAGCCAATCATGTCCTCAATGTTGTCATAGAAACGGTCTGCACCTGCAGTGGAAGAAGGTCAACACAATACCATCATACAGGATGCCTGCCCATCACAGGGCTCACAGCGTCTGTCCACCTCAGGCACACGTCTTCGAAAGCTGCAGAGGAAAATCACAAACACAGCAATAAAATCTGAAGCCATGAGGGCACTAAGGCAACCGGCAGATGCATGCCAAAGAAAAGAGTATTTTAATCATTTGGTTAAAATACAACAATGCACAAAGGCTGTGAAATTTTTTTTTGTTTGCCATGAAGATGAGATTTACTTTACTGCTGTATGCATGCATTACCTTTACTGCTAAATGGGTGATGTGTTGACTGGTTCTTAATACACAGAGTTTCTCTGAAAGTTCTCAGATATATTAGTGTCAGTCTAGGGCTGTCTGTATGTGAAACAAGCTCCACTGTGAAGTCTGCTTCTCCCTGCAGGTTTACGTCTTCAGTGAAGCACTTACCATAGATCCAGGCAATGCAGACAGTTTCAAAGATGGCCACAAAGAGGAGGCACATCCCGCTGGCAGCGTAGTAATCGAAGAGCTGGAAGATGTACATGCCACCCTGGAGAGAGAAGCACAGAGGCCACCAGGGTGAGTGAAGGGCATTCCCAGCAGCAGGTGTGATCATCTGTGGGGGGAACTAAGCAGTCACAGCAGAGAGGTAAAGGAAACTGAAGAATGAGTCACAGTAAAGGGGTAAAGAAACCGGAAGATCGTGGGCACTAAGATGAGTCACAGTAAAGGGGTAAAGAAACCTGAAAAACACGGGCATTAGAATGAGTCATAGCAAAGAGGTAAAGAAAACCGAAGAACACTGGCACTAGAATGAGTCACAGTAAAGGGGTAAAGAAACCTGAAGAACATGGGCATTAAGATGAGTCAGAGTAAAGGGGTAAAGAAACCTGAAGAACATGGGCACTAAGATGAGTCACAGTAAAGTGGTAAAGAAACCTGAAGAACATGGCCATTAGAATGAGTCATAGCAAAGAGGTAAAGAAAACTGAAGAACACGGGCATTAGAATGAGCCACAGTAAAGGGGTAAAGAAAACTGAAAAACATGGGCACTAAGATGAGTCAGAGTAAAGGGGTAAAGAAACCTGAAGAACATGGCCATTAGAATGAGTCATAGCAAAGAGGTAAAGAAAACTGAAGAACACGGGCATTAGAATGAGTCACAGTAAAGGGGTAAAGAAAACTGAAAAACATGGGCACTAAGATGAGTCACAGTAAAGGGGTAAAGAAACCTGAAGAACATGGGCATTAGAATGAGTCATAGCAAAGAGGTAAAGAAAACTGAAGAATGAGTCACAGTAAAGGGGTAAAGAAAACTGAAGAACATGGGCACTAAGATGAGTCACAGTAAAGGGGTACATGAGGAAGAATTAAAATGAGTCATAGGAGAAAGGTAAAGGAAATTGAAGGATTTGGGCACGAAATCAGTTACAGAAAAGGAGAGGTAAGGAGCACACACTGATTACAGTGCATTGCTGCATCTGCCACACGACAAATCACCTCAGGGCTGAGAACCCAAGCGCAGCCATGCAGCAGATGATACCTCAGTACCACACTAGTCCAAATGGAACAGTGAGAGTTTTTCCCCAGTGGCTGGAGTGCCAATCCTGCCAACAACCCCCAAATTTTCTCTGTTAGTTGGAGGATCTCCTTACAGGGCCAGATGTAGATTAACATCATACCTAGGATGAAACAACTGCAGGTTAAGGGCTTTGCTCAAGGTCCTAATGGAGTAGGATCACTCTTGGCATTTATGGGATTCAAACCAGCAACTCTCCAATTGCTGGCATAGATCCCTAGCCTCAGAGCCACCAGTCCACCCACAGAAAGGGGGCAAAGAAAACTGAAGAATATGGGTACTAAAGTGAGTCACAGTAAAGGGGTAAAGAAAACTGAATATGGACACAAAAATGAGTCACAGTAAAGGGGTAAAGAAAACTGAAGGACATGGGCTGGGCACTAAAATGAGTCACAGCAGAGAGGGAAATGAAACTGAAGAACACAGGCATTAGAATGAGTCACAGAAGGTAAAGGAAACTGAAAAACATAGGCACTAAAGTGAGTCAAAGTAAAGGGGTAAAAAAAAAAAGCTGAAGAACATGGGCACTAAAATGAGTCACAGCAGAGTGGCAAAGAAAACAGGTACCTAAAAATTAGTTACAGTGGATGGAACTGAAAATGGGTCAAGTACAGAGCTAAAGAAAACTGAAATAGACATTAAAAATGAGTGACAGTTGAGTGGAAACTACAACTAAGAACAAACAGTTAATATGGTCATGATGCAGCCAATAAACAGCAGAGAGGTAACATAACTAAACACAGACAGTAAACACCTGCACTCTAAACTGTCTGGTTTACATTCTGCTCAGTATACTTCTTGTGGTTTATGGCTTATCTATCAACCTCATGACCTCAGAATCCTGCATCTCTGAATCGCTGCACTAGAAGAGGACAACAATTATCCTGTCAGGCCAGAATTATAGAGAGTGTGTGCTTCTTATCTCGGTCTAAAAAAGGAGGTATCTGTGACAGATCTGGGCATTTGCTGTAAGCATGCAGCCCGGGGGGGCTGATTGTGGCTTACCTCAGTCAGCATGATGAGGCCCATCAGGTAGGACACGACGGTAACGGCGAGGATGAAGAGCTCCCTCCGGTAGGTGCGGCGGAACACCGACGGAAACATGTCCACCATGGCTGTCACCAGACTCTCCACGCACACAAACTGGGTGGGAGAGAAGAGGTGAAGCTTAGCAACGTCTGACTCAGCTGAAGCTCATAATTCACAAGGGAAACTGCGAGAAATGGACCATGTCACCCAGTCCATCCCAAATGGAGACAGTTATCTCTGCAGCTGTAATGGCACATAATCACCAGTGGGGGCACTGTAAAATCTGGGAAAATTGGACAACTCCAATCAGGGGCCCTAAAAAATTTGCAGTGGTCTGGCTTGGGGGCCCAATATGATATGCTTTCACGGGGCCCCTGATCAACAGTGCTCTGAGCGTATCAACAACTCGCAAATCCGCACTAGGGTGAAAGTACGCATAACGGCGGAAAGCTGACAGGAACATGGAGGTGAGAGGACCATCTCTGCCATTGCCATGGACCGAGCTTTACCTGGCTGTCGAGCCCCAGGAGCACGATCATGATGAAGAAGAAGCATGACCAGACAGGGGAGAAGGGCATCATGGAGACGGCGCGTGGGTATGCAATGAAGGCCAGCCCCGGGCCTGAGGGGGCACAAGCACACATCACAATCAGCGTGCGGCACTGTCTGTGCAAAGGAGTATGGGTAATACGGGCCAGCGCTCTGGATTCAAGAAATTTGTCATGTGTAGACCAGCAATTCCCAATATGGTCCTCAAGAACCCGCAGACAGTCCAAGTGTTTACTGGGACCTGGGAGGGAGTAACGACGAGGACTGGGTTGGGAGAACTGGTCTAGAAATGAAATTCTTGTTTTGTTCACTCCCAATGTTGCAAAAAAAGCAAAACAATAGTACAATAGATAGAATAAAAACATATATGTACCACAGGTGAAAAAATATTAAAGTGAAGAAAGAAAATAGATATAAGTTGTTACTAATGTAAAATATACAAAATATGAAGTATACAAATATATAAATTCTAGCCATCAAAGCCACTAGATGTCTCCTGGCCAAACCCCTCAGCGAGCCACGCACCAGACTCCGCCACCTCCGAAATGGGCACGTTCTGCTCATACGACATGAAGCCCAGGATGGAGAAGATGGCAAAGCCAGCTACGAAGCTTGTCCCGCTGTTTAGGAAGCAGAGGGCCAGGCAGTCTCTGGAACAGAGGCAGAGAGGGAGGGGTAAATAAAAGCAGGTTGGGGAGGGGAGGCAGGAGCTGAGAAGCACGTCAACCAGAAGAGAACGGGCTGCGGGCATCAGCACACGTCACCCCGAAGAGAACGGGCTGCGGGCATCAGCACACGTCACCCCGAAGAGAACGGGCTGCGGGCATCAGCACACAGACCTGTAGCAGTTGTTGTTGTACTTGTTGTAGCTCCCCAGGGCTGTGAGGCAGCCCAAACAGATGGCGTAGGAGAAGAAGATCTGCGTCCCAGCATCCATCCACACCTTGGAGAGGGAGAACAAGGGGGTCAGCTGGGCGGGGCCACAGGTGTGATGCTTATCAGATACTTTACAAGATGTCTGTAGTGCTGGAATGAATGAGGAGATTACTCCAGCAGTTCTACGTGGCACAGTATACAAGGGAATCCGATTTAATGATGCACAGTATTTCCAAGTCCGGTACTTGGTAACCCCCAGATGGTCCATCTTTTTGCTCCCTCCCAGCTCCTTACCAGACAGTTCATGTTTTTGCTCCCTCCCAACTCCCTGTCAGACAGTTCATGTTTTTGCTCCCTCCCAGCTCCCTACCAGACAGTTCATGTTTTTGCTCCCTCCCAGCTCCCTACCAGACAGTTCATGTTTTTGCTCCCTCCCATCTCCCAGTAGGATCCTTGAGGACCAGATTAAGAAACACTAATGTACAGCATTATAACGTTAAAAGCACCGTACTTTAAAACCACTTGGTGGCAGCACCGTGCAGCAAATCCACAGCCCTGATTCGTTCATTTTACTGCCATTTACTTGTCCTTCACAGGGGACCTCAGGCAGTTGACAGACACGGTGCCTAGTCCAGATAGTCCCATAAACTCCACAGGCAAACAAAGGGACTAATTCCTGCAACCATCACCATTTTTGTACATCGACCTAAGAGACACAGCTGGCAGGAACAGCTCAGAGGGCCAGCAGAGCTACGCCCCCAGGACTTTTTTTTTTTTAAATAAACACTTTTTAATGATTTTTATTCATTCCTCCCTCTATTCTCTACAATGTCATAAGGGTGCAAAGTGATGCAGCTGTTTAAATAGAAATGATTTCTTAATGTTTTATTTCACTAAGCCAAGAACCTGCATTCCCAGTGTGTACATAAAACCATGCACTGTACACTGACATTAACAGCGGCCCTCAGAAAACAAGTCCTAACATAGCTAGATGTAAAAATCACAATTCTCAGCGAAACACAGAATCTGTCAGGCGATTGCACTGGCTGGATTTTTTCTAACAGATCCATGAAAAATGACCTTTTCTCTATATAAACATCACTGAGGTTCACTAAAATCTGTCTATACAGGTCCACTGATGCCAAACTATTCGGCACAGCATGTGAACCAGAACATACACAGGGCTGCCGACTCCCACGCATCACACTCATGCAAGAAGTCTTATGGCAAATCTATATTATTCCATTATAAACCTAAAATTAGCTACATAAAAAGGGTAGTTTGCAAACCCTACAGACATAAATGCGTGTACATGTGTGTGCAGACCTGTCTTGAATTGAAATTCTCACTTCAGCCAGCTGACCAAAGTGCAACCCTGCATATGGGATTCGACAAAATGAGGCAAGAAAGTTTGTGTCTATGGAATAAATGCATTACTGTCCTGTGCAAGGTATTTATTACGAAGCACCACCCTTCAAAACTGTTGTTTTTTTGGAAAAGTATTCCAATTTGATACATATCAATAGTCTAACATTGCTTATTTTATGAATTTCACATTAACACTTACTCTTCTGAACTGTTAATTGACAAAAAAAAAATGAAAGAAGAAGGAAGAATCAAGTTTTGACATAAAGAAGAAGTGATAACCAAGACAGAAGTAGTTAGTTTGCACAGAGATTGTGCATGAAGATAATGGAATCTTGGGGTTCGACCTGTCAGAGCTGTAAACAAGCTGCACAGGATGGGGTGAGTCACTGTAAATAAACATGGAGGGACAGACAGGAGGTAAGTCAGGCCCTGGGGGAGGGACGTTTCAGCCACAGCAGGGTTTTTCCTTTCCCCGAGGAGCCCCTTTCATGAGGCACAGCTGGATTCAGCCAACGGCACGCTTTCCAGCTGGGAAGACAGCTCTGGGACACAACATCTGCGTCTGGAGGACGTCATACCCAGGAGGATAGGGACAGCTCCTGTGGGGTGGCTTTGATTGGTCCTCAGGCAGAGACGTCTAGCTCTGGCTGCTTGTCAACCAATAAGCCAAAGATCGTACTTCGGTCTTGCCTCCCAAGAACAGACTTGAGGTCTTGGTCTTGGTGAGGATGCAACCTTAATAGTGCATCCTTAATATTTTGGCGGGACAAGAACGACATCCGGGGATTTTTACTGTCTTCTGTACTTCTGTTCTTGAGTATTTGACCTGGTCTTCAGCAATGGAAGATGACGTAAAACGGGTACATGAGAACACAAGTACAGTCAAGTATACATTTTGAGAAACACGTACTACTGCTCTGATGGGGGCATGAGGGAGAAAACACATTAGTAGACATGTAAATAGTACACAGCCTGTGGCATAGTGGTTGAAGCACCATTTGGCTAAACGTTTGCCTGCCTTGGTCCCAAGACATAGTTCTGCTGCCCGAGAGCAAGACGCTTAAGACGTAAACATATTTTGAGTAGCAGCTGCTGCAGTCACTGCTGCTGACAGTGTTCACTGCTGCAGTCACTGCTGCTGACAGTGCTCGCTGCTGCAGTGCAACCATGGTCTTCAAACAACGGTCCAAATCGGTATCAGGGGGACCAGACCTTTCCTGATGACGAGATAATTATCATGTGAAAAAGCTCGGTGTGAGCAAATGACCTGTGTGCCTCACCTGAGGATCAGCCAGTCGTCCCAGGTCAGGGTACAGGTAGAACTGGATCCCCCTGGATGCCCCTGGAAGAGTGACTCCTCGGATTAACAGGATCATCAGCATCACGTACGGGAAGGTGGCTGTGAAGTACACCACCTGGAAGACAATGCGCAGAACTTAGCACGTTCCCTGAATTGCATATGTCACCCCTCTTACAAAAATGTAGGAGGTATTGGGTTCTAAAATACTTCATGGCTTGCTGTCCCCCTTTTACGCAGTACACAGTTGACCATATGAAGGTCTTTCACAGTGAGTCCGCCATGCCATCTCTAGCTGTCAGCCATGGCCTACCTTTCCAGTGGACTTGACTCCCTTCCAGATGCAAAAGTAGCACATGATCCAGGCGACAAGGAGGCACAGCGCCAGGTCCCAGTGCAGCACCCCCATGTGGTCAATCCCCGATGAGATCCTCAAGACCCGTCTCCTGCAGAGACCGACATAGACGTAGGGGAGAGACCACCAGATGCTCTAAGCAAAAGTTTCAATTTGCCTCATTCATCCAGATTCGATCGTCTTGCTCACAATGCTACTCTGATGCAATAAACATTTTAATGTCAGTTAAATTACTTTAATGAACAAGGTACAAAATGACACTTGGAAACTTACTAAAGAATTATTACAAAATATATAGCAAATGGCAAGTCTGAATAGCACCTATTTTCAAAACCTGTATTCTTTGTAATTAATAATTATTGAATTCATTTCTTAGTATCAGTGATTGACGACATTGATTCCATTGACATTCTTTTATCAGTATCTCCCACGCATCACAGACAAACAATTTAAAAGTAAAATTTTTTGAGCACTTACTCCCAGAATTCAATGACAGGAGAGGTTACATTGAGAGAGAGGCTGTAGTTGAAAGAGTCATTTCTCCGCTGGAACTCCCTGCAGGATTCTAAACAACACCAAACACATTATATATCCCTTTATCAAAGAAGCCATTATCACTGTTATGCTTGGATATAAACTATATGGGCAAAAATACTGGGACACAGTGTTAATTATTGAATTTAATTCTTAATCATTGAATTCAATTTATTTTTATATAGCGCCTTTCACAACAGAGTCGTCCCGAAGAGCTTTACAGGGTTGTGTTGCGATACATGAAACAGAAGTAGAGGGAGATACAGAACGAGGAAAAAAGGAAGGAAATAAATTGAATAAAGAAAGCCAGATGAGAATGGAGGAGAGAAACCAAAAACTCCCACGTAAGGAGAAAAAAATCCTCTGGGGGTGCAAGGTCAACTGGCTGCGCCCCCCCCCCCCCCCCTGTAATACTAACTTAACCAAAAACAGAGAAGAGTGGACATGCTAGCTAAAAGGGAGGTATATGCTGGGATTAAGGATTAAGACAAAGTCCGTTAAAGAGTCAAATTCAGGTTTTCCTTTCAGACTCATTGCCACAGGTCTGTAAAACGAAACACGTAGCCATGCAGTCAGGTTTGCAAACATTTGTGAAAGAAATGGTCATTCTGAAGAGCTCAGGAAATTCAAGTGTGGTGCTGTCATAGGATGCCACCTTTGCAATCAGTCAGTTTGTGAAATTTCTTCTTAGCTAGATATTCCACGGTCAGCTGTAAGTGGTATTATTGCAAAGTGGAAGTGATAAAGAACAACAGAAACTCAGCCACAGCAGATCGGATGAAGTACCAGAGTGGGATCTCCGAGTGCTGAGGCACGTAGTGCTTAAAAGTCACCTATGATCTGTTGACTCAATAACTGCAGAGTTCTAAACTTCTTCTGGCATTAACCTGGACACAAAAACTGTGCCGGGAGATTCATGGAATGGGCTTCCATGGCTGAGCAGCTGCATGCAAGCCTCACATCACCAAGCGCAATACCAAGCATCGAATGGAATGATGTAAAGCATGCCGCCATTGCACTCCGGAGCAGTGGAAATGTGTTCTGTGGAGTGGCAATTTGCATTTCTCTGTCTGGCAATCTGATAGATGAGTCTGGATTTGGTGGATGCCAGAAGAACGTTACCTGCCTGACTGCACCGTGCCAACTGCAAAGTTTAGTGGAGGGGGGATAATGGTATGGGGGTGTTTTTCAGGAGTGGGGTTCCGGTGAAGGGAACTCTTAATGCTTCAGCATGCCAAGGCATTTTGGACAATACTATGCTTCCAACCTTGTTGAAACAATTTGGGGAAGGTCCTTTTGTGTTCCAGCATGACTTTGATGCAGTGCACAAAGCAAGGTCTATAAAAACGTTTGGGTGAGTTTGCCGTGAAAGAACTTGACTGGCCCGCACAACCCAACTGAATACCTTTGGGATGAACCAGAACAGAGATTGCAAGTGTCTGACCTCGCGAATGCTTTTCTGAACGAATGAGCAAAATTTCACACAGACACACCTCAAAATACTGTTGAAAGCCTCCCCAGAAGAGTGGCAGCTGTTATAGCTGCAAAGGGGGGCAACTCCATATCGATGCCTATGGAGTTAGAATGGGACGTCATAAAAGTTCCTGTAGGTGTAATGGCCAGGTGTCCCAATACTTTTGTCCATACAGTGTATTGTTCTATTGATTCCTTGATGCCTTTAACTGACCTGTGTTCCAGGTGTTATTGCACGAGGACCACGGCAGGTCCCAGGTGAAGGAAAAGCACAGGTAGAAAATTCCCCAGGCCAGGACAATGATGTAATAGAAATTCAGGAGGGCTACAATAACCTGGGTAGCATAGCCGATACCTAAAGAAATAGTTTGAGAAAAGGAAAACTTAGAGGCTTCACTTTGGAAAAAGCTGGACCAAATTCAAAAGAAAATCAGCACTGACTTCTTATATGTGACTTAATATATATAATACTAGCTATTAGTTCTATTAATTTATTGTGTACCGAGTCAGGATATTGTATTGAGTTGGAGGAATATGGTACATAGTGACCTTCTAGACATATTAGCCAAATAGATATGTCATACAGTGACTTACTAGACATATTAGCCAGAGTTTCTGGCCTGCTAGACACATTAGCCAGAATAGTACACTGTACTGTGACCTACTAAAGGCATTAGCCAGAATGATATACTGTACTACATAGTAGCCTACTAGACATATTAAATACAGCAATATGGATCATGGTCATCTTCTAGGCATATTAGGTATGACATTCTAATTGACACTCTGAATCTCAATCCCCTTCCAAATACCACAGGGTGCAGAAGATCCTGTTGAGTACCATGTTGGAATGGAACAATCAACTGTGTCTATCACAAATAAATATTCTAAGTGGGACTGACCATACAACATTTTTACATTTTGCATACTGGACCAGATAATGTCAAGTAACTGACATTATAAGTGAAGACTTTGGCTAAAGGAAGCTGGGCAAGAAAAATGATGGGGATCACCTTCAAAGAGTGGGCAGATCTTCCTCCAGCAAGTGATTCCTCCCTCGCTGGTGAACTGGCCAAGCGAAGTCTCTAGGAAGAATACTGGAATCCCACAGGAAAAGAGGAAGATGAGGTAGGGAATGAAGAACGCACCTGTTGCAAGAGAGAACAAAGAGTTGCCATCACTGTACGTCCAGTAAAGTGAGTGGAGAAGACGTGATAACGTGGGGGAGTGTTTGACAGTGTTGACCAGCTTAGTAAACACAGGGTTACTGGAAATGTAACCAGCCGTTTTCTGAGGGGACGTCACCCCAAGCTGTTGACTCAGCAAGTTGGTGGCTTTTGGGATGTTTGAAGGACGATCAGATTTCTCAAACCCACAACATCTGCATTCTTCTAAGGACAGCTGTTGCTGATCACTTGAGGGCCACGGCCAAGCAACAGCTGTGTCTGCCACCCTTGACCCTTCCAGGTCTCCCACAGCCTTGAGAGAACAGCCAAAATACCCCCAACTCAAGCAGGACATTGACACGTAGCATAGCCACTCCACTGCTTTTCAAAGGGGCATAGCTGGATAATTTATTGTTTTTTCCATTCATATCGTCCAGGTGGCACCGTGACGCAGTAGCTAGTGCATCTCCAACCCTACTGTATCTGTGTGGTGACTGCATGTTCTCTCCATGTTCCATGGGAACCTCAGATTCCATCCAAACACATGCAATTAGATGAATTGGTGTTTCTAGGCCTGCCGTGTGCCCTGTGGCGTGACTTTGGTTCCAGGCCCCTCCCCCCAACCCTGTGCCAGAACAGCAAGGAAAGATGGATGGATACAGGGCTGCATGATATCACATCGTGATTATATGGCTTTAGATGACGGCCGTACATATTTGTCCAGACGCGCTCACAATTTGGCAAGCAGATTAGTACTGCATCTAAAATATTAATGAGAACCGTATTGTGATGCCCAAAAGTTAGTAATCTGTATATATTCAATGTATCCTTATGTTTAATAAATGTGTCAGACTTTAAACTGCAACACATAACACCACAGCAGTGATGTCTTTTTGCCTTGTTTATCTGCAGTATCTCCTCTTTCAAATGATGTTGTGGCTGCTGATCTCTCCCTTTCTTCACCGGCACTTCAGTGCTTATCACTTCCATGATTTACCAAAACAGTAGCATGTGGGGTGATCCACTAACCGCATTTAATAAACATACGGATACACTGAATTTATACAGATTACCAAGTTTTGGGCTTAGCAATACACCTCTCATTAATATATTAGGCACACTACTGATCTGCTTACCAAATTCTGGGTGTAACAGAAGTAAATATCCATACATACCAAAGAGCCGGCATCTGGACAAATGTTTACCCGTCATCTAAAGCCCTGGTGATTATTGCGCTACGCCATATAATCGTGATTATAATCGTGATCACAATAAATCATCCTATGTATCAGATTTTTAAATATCTATTGAATTATCGGTAACGCTCTGCACCTTCATAATGCTTTTATATTGCATAACGTATTCATTAAGTATTCATAAAACATTCATAAACATCATGTATGTATACCTTAACATTCTAACATCCTTAACAGCTGTAATATACATTAATAACAAACATTATATAATAATAATAACAAATATTATAATTGTATAATCGTGTAATGTTTGTTATTAATGTATATTAAGGCTGTTAAGGGATGTTAGGATGTTAAGGTGTACTTGCATGCTGCTTATCAATATTCTATGAATTCATTGTGAAAGTGCGCTTAATGTAAAGCATTACCGAATTATCTATAATAACTTTTGAGATATTTTAAATCCTGGTTGCCCCCTGCACAATTTCCTGTGTTTATAGTTGTAGAGCAAGTTTCCAAAATCTGGGGTACGATTGTAACTCGCTACTGTTTCTATGGAGTTTTGGCTTCCAGCATTGTAACATGAGGAAGCCTGACTCTAAGCAGGTCTCGGCTCTGTGCTTGTGTTCAGAAGGTTGCCGATTGAAGCCCCAGCACAATAGCCACGTCTCTGTTGGGCCTGTGAGCAAGGCCCCTAACCCCTGAAGTGCAATAGGAGGCACTGGGTAAATGGTCTGACCCTGCAGTCAGACTCCAGGCTTTGCTGTCACCTGTATATATCTCTCAAAGGAGAGCATGATGGGATATCTCACAAAGAAGTGTACCTAGCACATGTGCAAATGGAAAATAAATCATTATTTCAATTTCAAAAAAATGGACGGAGTGAGTTTTGGAAATTTGCTCGTCAACTGTGAAAAGGGACAAATGGATGGATGGATGGAGATTATGTGGGTTTTGTGGATGCAGAGTGACAGGAATAACAAACATTAGCTGTGATAATATTCCCAATGCTCTGGGGCCTGATATTTGGGCTTTGGTTGACTTCTCCTTCAACTCCAGCCAATGCCTTTATTTTATGGCAATATCAAGGCAGACATCCTAAAAATAAAAACATATATGCTAAAAGATAACTGGACAGTTCATTAGCTCCAGTTGTGCGGATCTGGATATCACTCCTGTGACAGACACATTCCATATCTGGAATAACTCTCTTCACAGCCTAATAATTAATGTCCATAAAAATAACTCCACAACTGTTTATATTTAGTTTAACAAGCTCTGGAGCAATTAATGTCCATCAGTGGAGCTGAGATAAAAATTTCATAGTCCTTTTCAGAAGGTAGAATAACAAACTGTACTTTGGAAGGCATACCCTAAAACCAAATTATAACATGCCAAACATTAATGGCAGACATTTATAAAATAAACTTGCAGTTTTAACTACTGCTGTTCAGGGGGACTGCATTCTTCCGGCCAGCCGGCAGGCATATCACATGACCATCGCGAGCCAATGACACCTAGTGTGACCCCAGTGTCCGATATAATGTTTCATGAGATCCACTCACCGCCACCGTTCTTGTAACACAGATAGGGGAACCGCCACACGTTGCCCAGCCCAATGATCTCGCCAGCCACAGAGAGGACAAACTCCAGCTTGTTGCTCCACTGTCCTCTCTCCTTCATTTTCTTCTCTGCCTGGGGGGCTTGGGCACGACCGTTGAAGGTTTCAGCTTTGGGGATGATCTCCATATCTCCTGGAGTTGCCACATGAATATCATCAATTTTCGAGAAGCGAGCTGTAGAAGGTGTTTCTTAGCATTCACATTTGGTCACATGTTTACTTTGTAAAAATAAACAGTCCACGCCCCCATCGCATCTATAAATTTTAAAGATAATGCCACACTCTCTGGCTAAAAGATAAAGGCTTCCACAGCCATCTCAAGAAAGGCTCTTTTGTGGCCCATATGGTTCGTGTTAAAAGCTTTGACCGTCGCTGAAGCGTCGGCAGGCAGAATCGCCTGTCCGCCCCCTCCTGCCTCTCTGTCGAAGCTGGGCTAAGGAGGAGCACAGCTACCTGCTTCACTGACCCCATCTAAGACCTTGATGCTTAACAGAGGAACCAGGGGAGTTTACGCAACACAAATCCACGTGCATTTGTGAGTTTACGATAAATGAAACTGCTCCTAAAGCTGCAGCAATGATCGTATTTCCCTTGGCAAAAGCAAAAAGGTTTTTATGGTCCAGGGGCGCTAGAAGATAAACGGGTCAGCACCGATGTGAAGTGGTGGTAGATTTATAGTTTGCTGATTGTGAGCTTATGGGTCCTCACTGCACTGAGGATGAACCCCATTCCATGTTTATGGAAGGGTAATCTGCAAAATTGTGGTTTAAAGCCAGTAGTGGGTAATTCAAGTCCAGACCAGGATTTTGTTTCAACCAGCCAGTTGAGTACTGACTATGACTCTTTATACTCAACTGGTTGGTTGAAACAAAATCCTGGTGCTCATGGGAGTTTTACTTACACAATATTCTGAGGGTAGAAGGAACGATAGTTGGTTCAGAGAGATAACCAATCAGATTGTAGAGGAGGTGGGTCCAAGGAACTGGAGGAGGCGGGACCAAGACTTCTGAATTGTTGGTCCCGCCTCCTCTAGTTGCTTGGACCCACCTCATCTACAATCTGATTGGTTATCTCCCTGGCAATGAAACTCCACTTTCTGTCCAGACATCCAAATGGATGCTTGTCTTCAGCTATGGGGTCTCCTGAACATGCCCCTCCCATCCATGGAGGAGCACCTTTGGATCACGATAGCCACTCTACGGCGGGGTGACAACCCCACAAAAGACCGAGATTAATTTACAGATGAAATGCGTAATTAAAGACTGGCAGAAGCTTATGGTCTAAACAGCCCTGGCTGATCTTCGCAGCATTTGGTGTGACGCGCAGACTGAGTGTAACCATAATGTTGATTGGCATAGCTGGTGATTAGAAGTCCTGAAAGTTCTCTAAAAAACAATTTAATGCTTTAGACTGTAACACACTACGCTTTTTGCAAATGCAGCGCAGCAGAGTGCATTGCTGGCATCATGCCACAGTTCACATCCTGCGTACACTGACCTTTCAGTGAAATTTCAAAGATGTCTTTTCAGGTGACTGTCCTTTTTTGTCATCAAAAAGCAAATAAGAAATCCTAATAGTGTACCGTCAGCATAGTTTTTATGCTCGGCCTGAACAAAAGTCAAGCTTTCTGGGGTAGAGAAACATTTCAAAGTGTACCTGGGTCAATTTTCTTATGTTAAACGTGATTGTAGCAGCACATGCTTAAGGAGAAGCCAGCTGTAGAGTGGAAGTTCAAGGCTCAGTTGGGATTTAAGATTTGTTGGTGCAATGAGTATTGATGGATTTGGTTGGCAGAGACGGGTAATTTATACCACTTGCCAGCAAGTATTTGACTGCTCAACAAGCCCAATGTAATCTCAGGGCGGTGAGTTGAACAGGTGTCAGATGAAACACCCGTAGGTATAACGACCATTCTGCAGAACATGGAAAAGTACTGGCACGATGGAATCGTTAGTGGTGAAAGACCCGAGCAAACAAACGAGGCTCTGGCAAATACAAGGTGCTTTTAAAAGAGGATATTGCCAAGAGAGAACTATTTGTATCTTAGGCAATTATTAAACAAGCTCTGAGAAGACGGTCAACTTCTATGCTAGCTAGCTGTTAATATAAATGCTGCCTCATGTAACCTCTTTATAAATGCTTTCTCTGAATCTGGTTCGCAGGTCGTTCTAAGTCCTTCTTCAACTCATTTTATAGTCCTGGAGAACCAGCCTCCACTGGACTTACACAGAATGCCAAGCCTAAGCAGACCACAAAACAACTATCCACAGAAGCCATGGAAGCTCTGGTCAGATAAGAAACCTCTACAAGTCACTACTTACCTCTCCTAGTGCCTGAAGGATCTGCTAACTTCCAAGACTGAACGGTGTCCCGGTATTGATCAGCAAACGTGCATGTTTGACTATTTAACACGTGTTCAGGGGAGGCGAGTGGATCTGTGAGGTTCAGGCTTCAGAATCCAGCCTCCAGTGGGCTCCAATATCCCACATTCCGCCAACTAGCCCCCACCCCACCCCCCCATTCAGAAATAGAAGTACACACACACACACATCTGTCTCTCAGAGGTTGTCTTCTCTAGGAGGGCAGAACACACCGGAGGTCTTTGCCGTCTCGTCTCCATTGCGCAACCTTTGAACACATATTCGAGTTGGGCCCTCCCTCCATGTGTGAGGTGGGTGGGGGGGTCAGAGAATGTCCAAATACCCCCCTCCCCCAACGCAAACCTCGACCCACCTTCACTTTCCCAGGGCACAGAACGTTCCATTGATTGCAGCCGCTGGCTGCTGGTGACACGGAACCCTGGGATCGCCCTGACGATCCCAGCGCGACGGAGCCACGGCAGAGATTCTCGCGTCACTTCTGGGGGCTCCTTCGTTCCAGCTTTCAGGGAAACAGGCCTAAACCTACACCTCAGACTTCCACAGACCACGATGCTGCTGAATTTCCAGATTGGGCACTTCTGTGTGCACGATGGCAGAGCTCCAAGAGCCAGTGTAGAGGACTACAGGAAGAACTTCATATTGTCACTGCAAAGTTATTATTCTTATTCCGTCTCAGTTAAGACAAGACTGATTAACACTGGCTGAAATATGCTACTGCAGTCATTTCCTTTGCTATTGAATGGACGCCTTGATACATGGAGAGACGGGGATAAAATTATTAAAAGATTTGGTGGCTAATAATTAAAGTGGCTTAAATGTATTTATTTACACTTTAGACTTTGTCTCATGATCACTATAACTTTCACATGATAAATGTAACCCTGATTCATGTAAAAAGCAGCATTGGGATCTTTTATGTGGAAAACTATGGTTGAAACGTCATTCGATCAAATGTGTGACATATTGAACTATAGACATAACTGGACTAGTTATAATACTGAACTGATTATAAGCCATATATGCAGCTGTATGTGAAAGCAATACCCACATCCTATAGGCAGTTTGTCCTTCAGGCATGACAGGTACATCACCTTGGAAGGATGTTCTTTGCGTGGATGAGCAGATTTCTCAAAAGACACGTCCCCTTCTGTTCCGCATAATTCGCAGAAATTAGCTTTATTCTGAGGGACGGAACAGCACTGCTCTCTCACAGGAGGCTAAAACACCACCACTGCCCTGTGCGGGCTTTGCTTTGGGTGTGCTATGTATTCAGCCTAAGGACATGCAGTTGGCTTGATTGGTGTCTCCACAGCATGCGACTGGGTGTCTGAGTGTGGGCGTGTCTGTGCCCTGTAATTGACTGGCATCCTATCCAATGTCTACCCCTGCCCTATACCACCTGACCAGCATAGGCGGTTTGAACCTGAGTCGATGGAAAACAGGATGGATTGTTCACTTCTCCCAGAACTCAAAACACCAGAGATGTGAACTCTGACATGTTAGTTAGATTGGCTGTCGTCTATCACCACATTCCCTGCTAACAGCCAAGTTAATTTATTCTTGTGCATGTACATATTACCCACATTAATACATATATCGTATTATATCGACATCTCCTCCGTTGTCATCTTGCTTTTCTTATTTAATTTCTTTCCTTCCTTTTCCCATTCTGTATTACTCTCTCTAATGATGTTTATTGTATCACAACACATCCATGTAAAGCACCTTTGGATGACTCTGTTGTGAAAGGCGCTATATAAAAATAGATTGAATTGAACTGAATATATCACACGGTAGGTTAAAATTAATGCTATACAAAGCACAAGCAGGGTAATAAGGTACAGTGCAACACAAGTACAGACAGGATAAACGCTATTCAGTGCAGATGGTTAGGCGTATTGTGCAAGAAAACGAAAAACAAAAAACAGATTGTATTAGCAGTAAGAGTCTGATTATCAGAGCTGCTTCAACTATTTCGCAGCTCTAGGAAAAAAGCTGTTTAGGTGCTGAGTAGCTTTTGTTCTAAGTAGCTGGTGGCTTGTCCCAGATGGGAGTTTTTGGAAAAGACGTTAACCAGGGTCAGAGGGGTCAGCAACAATTTTTCCTGGATGTTTCCGTTCCCTTAACCAATTACACAATTACCCAGTTACACAATTACCTAATTTGAAAGCTGGCTTGTAATACGTATGGTAGATATCCTACACAAATGTTGTTTATGTAAGTTGTATAGCTTGTTATGCATATCGGTGATGGAAAGGGCTCTGCAGACCTTGTTGGGGCTGGATGTTCTCATGGTTAAAATCAATCACAAGCTGCTTTCTGCTTCCCATTAGCTTTTATCGCCGCTCGTCTGGACACGTCGACTTTCCTCTACATTCAACATCAGCTCAAACGACCTGCTGACAGATACTGCTGTTCCATTGGTCCAGGAGCATTTTAATTGCTCCCGAATTCCTCCACAGCAGAGATTCGAGGATAATTATCCCGTCTAGTGTTTTTTAGGAGACCTCTCCCTCACCATTCCCTTCCCAGCCTGCTGGGAAGCCGTCGCTGGTTAAGACCACCCCCCCCCTCCTCGATCACAAGAAACAGACCTGTCTCCCACCATTAAGATCTCTGGGTCTTGGTGACTGCAGGCATGCAGGTACAGCCAAGGGGCCAGGGGCCCTGTGGAGACGACTGTTGTTGCAGTTGTCTGGCCTCCGGCACAGCAGGAAGTGTCTTTCACTTTTGAAACATTTCTCAAACATTCTCTGGTCTTGGTCCCAATACTAATGAAACCAGTTTGCTGTGGCCTTTACATTTCTTTCTGATTTATGTAGATTTTATGGGTTCACGGGCACATGGTATTACACAGTACTATAAACTGATATAGTAAATCATACGATATAGGGCGTAGTGAGCACTCAGTCACCTGGAAACAATACGGACTGACACATTCACTACAGAAAAACAACCCTTTTGTCTTGTCTGAGAAATATCCTGCTGTAGAATAGTTACTCATACTGTTTTGGTACTTTTGGTATACACGCACCCTCATTAATTAATAGCAGTATCCTGTTTAAACAGTGGTTAACTGAAGTTACTGTTCCCTTACTACTACTAGTAAATGTTTGTTAACAGTTAAAACTTTGGGTAACTTATTCACTCAGTTTTTACAAGGTAAGATAAGGCGTTTAACTTGCATTTATGTGTACTATTAAATCACTGTTGCTTTCTATCTACAATTAATTCACTATTACTTTTTTGCTCTCATTGAATTCCATCTAGGTTGTTGTGAATCTTTTGTGAAGCCAAAGATTTCTGTACTTGTAGGCCGCATGATATTAATTCCTCTGTACTTTGAAACTGCATTTATTAACATGCAATGGCTGTGAAATATCAGTTGCAAGAGATACATGCTATTAGAGCAGAAGTGGGGAACCTGATCCATGGAGGGCCAGTGTGGGTTTTTGGGATGGCCTCTCAATCAGCCAATAAGGACCGGACTGCTTCATTATTGGCTGATTGAGTGGCCGTCCCAAAAACCCACACTGGCCCTCCATGGATCAGCTTCCTCATCCCTGTATTAGTGTAAGCATCATGCCACACAGCATTATACTGAGTGAATGATTCCCCATGTATGGAGGATGAAAGAATAAAACAAAGTAAGTGATTTTCTACAAAACACTGACTATTATTATAACTGGTTTCATGTTTGCTGGAGATTTAAGACGCATCTACGTTCCAAGGATGCCAGAGTGCAGCTTCATGCTCCAATATAAACTGCTATTTTTGTCTTTGAATGAGCCGTTTGTGCATCGCTTTCATTGAACTGGAAATTCTTTATCGACTTTGTGTCCAAAATACAGGACTAATTAAAATTGGGAAAATGGGTTTTATTCCTCACTGTAGTTACTGTTTGCTCTTTGATATGAATCGTAGACTGAGGCACTGAGTGTCTGTTTGAGCTGCGCTATCAAGAAACGTTTGTTACACAGTGAGATGAAACAGACATTGAGAGCAAACCAGCAATGGGATTAATGTGATATTTATACCTATAACTAAGCATCTAGTTCATTTTGAATCAGTGTCAACATAGAATAGTGATAATCCCTGTGGGCAAATTCTCTTTCCACCAAACCCATCTTGCTCTCCATGAGACAGACACACATACAGGTGAGAGCGAGCTTTGGAGTCATAGCAGAGGGATAGCTGGCGTGCGGGACTCCTGGAGCTGGGGGGTAAGGGCCTTATTCAGGCCTTGGACATGTGACTATGCTGTTGAGGGTGGGGTGTGAACCGATGACCTTCTGATCACAGGCGTAGAAGCTTAACCTGCTGAGCCACAGACCTTGTCCTATTGGAAGATGGAGACCTAAAGATTACAACGTGTGTCACTAATTCCTCACTGAACACTGGTTTTAGTGCTTTCTTTTTCTCATCGATGGAAGCCTCTAGACAACTTCTAGTATGGTGGTCCAAAGCAGCTCCTTGAGGATGCTCACATCCCCAACGCTGACCTGCCTTTCACATCCTTTCACATCCCCTCTCCTGGTGGAGGCTTAGTAAAGCTCCATCTTCTCCCTTTACGCAGCAGAGCACACTCTCACTGCCCCTCCCTCATTCTAGAACATACCGTTAGCCGGTATTGCCCAGGCATCGAGATCAGCCAGACGAGCTGCATCTTCTCCCCATCATTCAACGTACCTAGGAAAGCAGCTCCATGACCATCTTCAGCTGGCAGACAGCCTGCTGGTATAGCAGCTGGTGGCTATAAAGAGATGACTCAGGATCGTCACACCAAGGGAGACAAATCACTCCTCGGGTAGCACCAAGCAGCCTCACCAAAGATGTATCATGCTTCACAGGAGTAGTGCAAAACAACAAATGGATTACTGTTCCTCATTTGTTCTCCACAGATTAAATCTTGACACCCGTCACCCCGAGCTTCTAAGGGACAGATTGAAGATAGCGGCACCCCACAGGTTTGACTAGGAAGAGTTTATTAAAGGTGATAAACAACAAAAAGCCACATCCAGGTATTCCGATGCTCAAAACCTATTTACATTATAAATATGTTCGCTACATACAACCACTCTCCTAGTCCTACGTACTGACCCATACCGCGGGGCAGGATTGCGGCTGCGGGTGAAATGTGTGAGTGATTTCATGATGAGAACCAGGCCAGAAGCCATTGCCTCTCAGCGTGGTAGAGCAGGTATATCCGGTTTATCATCTCGATGCAGCGTGTACGTCTCCATGTGATGCGATATTCTCTCAGCGTAACACCGGAGTCAACTCATTTTGGGTTGTAGGGTTCAGCTCTTATCCCTAGAGCAGGGGTGAGGAGGTGCAGGCGAGGTGACCGTTCTTCTAGAATGATCTGCAGCCACACCTGGAGGCCTTCCCTGGTGTGTACATGGATCTCGACTCTGTGCGTTCATTTAGATGCAAGTCCAATGATCTTGTCTATCAAGTCAAACTTGGGTTTATAATTACAAAAGGAGCACTGGGCCACCCTTGGGCTGGTCGGGCACCCTGGCATCTCTGCGTTAGCTGCTGTCCTGCAGATGTAGCTGGGCGGTGGGTGGGAGGATCTGCAAGGTGCACGGGGGCGGAGCCTGTCCGGCAACATCTGTCCCCGCCTTCCCGGCCCCGCCCATAACCGCCTTGCGGGAGCAGGCCGAGCAGATGTAGTCCTCATTTTCTGCCATCTCACAGGACACGCCCACGCAGACCTGGTGGAACCACTCGTCACAGCCGCCGTCACATTGCACCCAGTCCACCTGTTTGAGGACGACGGGAAGAACACAAGGAGTCGTGTGATGAAGGAACGGAAAGATGGAACGAGAGAATGAGAAACATGCAGGTGGTTAAAAGGCTAAAGTAGTACTACAGGTAGGTAAGACACAGTCACCTGCACTACGCCCATATACAGCGTAACCGGTAGCTAGGGGGCGCTGTGTAGGACTTCCTAGCCAGAGCGATGTAAGCATTTCCCAGTTCTTTAGCAAGGAGCTTTCACTTCACTGCTTTCAGCCATAACACTCTCTCACGGTGCCATTAAATCTTGGGGAGTCTCTAAATCAGGTCATGAAATGTGGCAAATTTGTGGGCGACTTTGTAAAAGGCTGCACTTTCGCGTAATGTTAATTACTACTGCGCTGATTTAGAAATTTACTCCCAAAGCCAAGGATCTTCGTGCTATTGCTGTCATACTTGGAGCCATGCTTCGCGACCCCCCAGGCAGGCTGAACCTTTTGTCTTCTTCATGACTATGGAACAGCATTACTGGTCTGTTTCAGCAGTGGCCTGAACCACAGCCAAGGTGGAGGTGGGGGCAAGGATCAAAAATGGCTGCTCGTAAACAGACGCCTGCATCTCCACTTAAACATGCGTGAGATTAATGGTACCTCTGTTACCTCATTTCACTTAAAGTCATTAAATCTAAACTGTCCAACAATAAAAGACATTCAAGTAAACATGAAATCTCTTTACATAATATCTGTACATACAGTTATACTGCATTTTGAATTTTGATGGCTATTCTGCAAGTATCTCTCTCATATTCCGACAGGCATGACTGATGCCCAGCTGGCCTCGGATACTGGAGATGTTGCCACGCAAACATGCTTGGTACCAGACAGGCGAAGCTTATTTGCTACACATCTAATGGCCCTTCTGACGCTTAAACCTTCTCAGCATCATTCTGGTTGCTGGATAGGAGTTGACTCCAGAAGAAGCTGACCGCAAACAGCAAGGCCTTGTGTATGTCTACCGGCTAGACCTCTCACCTTGTCCTTGCACGGCCGCTGGCAGTTCTTGGCCGCGCACACGGCGTTCTCATCGTTGGAGTCCTCAGCGCCAGACCAGTCGTACTTGGATGGGATGTCCAGCACCTTCTTCTCCCGCTTCTTCTCCAGACTCTCCTTGGCCGCCTCGGCCTTGACGGCCGCCTTCTCCTTGCGCTTTCTCTCCTTCTCCTCCTTGGCTAGCCGTTTGGCCAGCTGCTTCAGCTCCTTGGACTTGTCGGGGCCCAGCTTCAGCTTCTTCTTCTTGGGCTTGCCCTCGACCTTCTTCAGGTCCTTGGACTTGGGTCGGCCTTCGCCGCCTGCCAGAAGCAGCTGCTCTGCCTTCTCCAGCTTCCGTTTGCGTTTCTTCTCTGGGTCCCGTGGCTTCAGCTTCACTGGCTTCTCTAGGACAGTGTCCTCAGGCTGCAGGGAGGGATAAATAGGATAAAGAAGATAAAGAGCAACATAGGAGGGTCCACATATACAAATGAACACTCCACCAGATGGGTGATGAGAGGAACGTAGAGGTTCTCAGCACTAATAATGATGCATAAAGCTGATATTCATACTTGTACAACCAATGCACTGAAATCTCAGCAGGGTTCTGACAAGGAACACACTCACCTCCATGACCTGCAGAAAGCGTTCCTCTGAGGGCGGGTGCGTAGCCTGTAGGATCCTCCAGATGTGCTGGGTCTCGTCCAGGGAGACCTCCAGCAGGTCACCGACCATCATCAGCTCCTCCAGCTGGGTCTTGGCCGATGGGGACAGCTCCAGCACGGGGGGCTCCAGACTGCGAGGAACCAGGGGGGTCTTCCTCGGCTGTTTCCGGGGCGTGGCTGAGTCTGGGGGGGGGTGGATTGTCAGGCACATATTAGGCTCATTCCTTGTGCCCTCAGGGTACTTCTTTGACCTTGTTACGGGCCAGCCTTGTAGGACCATGGTTGGCCATTGTTTGCTAACTCATGTATTGTCTTTCAGGTAGTTTCCTCACTGGCTGGTTGTGCTACATTGAGTAAACCTGAGGAGGAGGCTTTATCTGCCTTGGAGACGGCAGTCCTGGGGGCAGGCTCTTCCAGCTGTGCTCTTTCTCCTGGCTCCAGGCAACTGATTTATTGTTAGATTATGGGCACGGGTTTTATTATTATTATTATTATTATTATTATTATTAATGATATTTTATTGACCCCATGGGGAAATTTTCTTCATCTACCCCATCTTCTCCGTGACACATGCCCACTAAAGTCGGAGGAATCGATACAACCCCGAGCTCAGGATTCAAGATGGCTGCCCCTCTTTATCAACAGAAAGCTAAAGCTGTTGTTTTATTAGCACTTATGTCTTATTTGTGGCTCATTTAATCGGTCGTACACACAGTATTGTCCAAATGCTATCTGTGGATGTGTTACTATGAGGGATCAGGATCAGCAGTGACCTCCCGATACAATATTATCATGATACCTAGGTCCCGATTTGATATGTATTGTGATTCCATAAGTATTGCAATCCCAATTTGATACTACTTTTTTCACGACTTTTTCCCTTTTTAAGAATTGTAAAGCCTTCAAAAATACCGCTCAAGCTTTATTCAATAGCTGCACAGCTGAATGAACGAGTAAACAAGGTAAAAGGTAAGGAGTAAACAATGCAAAACAACTTCAAATGTAACAATATAACATTAAACTTAAAATTCGAAGTTAACAAAAAGCTACATTTGCTGCTGTTGTGGTATAAACTACACAGAACATTCATGCTTTTCCGTTGCCTTGTCTAGGACAGAGTCTGCATACAGCATGGCTCATGTCCAACTCCTCTTTACTGTTTAAATTCTGAAAGCCAAAGTTCCTCCATATATTTGGTTTAAACCGTGGAGGAGCAGCACGAATCTCTGCCATCATCCACCATTCCTGTTATTGCTAAACAAAGTTTATAAAATAAATGCCTGCTACTACACAGGATGCTTGTGCTGCCTGTCAGTGTGGGAATACTTTAGAGCACGCCACCTGCAGGATTAAAGAGGAACTGCAACGTTTCTCCACCTCAAATCCACACATAAATAAAATATAAATAAAAACTGCTTTGCCGTTACATACATGGACATCACTGTCACCCATCCAGCACCTTGCTCTCACACTGATATACTGACAGACCATGCACACCTTGTCTGTTCCTTTGACCTTAACTTATTAATAAAGTCTATATTGTAATTTCTTGGCGTGATGGTCCATCAGTATATCAAACTGCACTGTAATATAAACAGCGCAGGTGAACACAAGCCGGGAGTTCTTACTCTGTGCGCAGGACTTGGACGCGGAGGAGTAGGCGTGCTCGGCACAGAAGGAGGGTGTGGCTGGCCACATGTGACAGACCACCTCCTCTGACTTGACAGGGATCTCCTCATCACAGAACAAGTAGGGCTTCATCCCACCGGAGTCCTGAGGCACATAGAAAAGGCATTTTCCCATATTAACTGCATTTTGTGGGTGATGAGGGAGACTGGAGAGCACTGATGAGGAGCACACCCCCTAGTGTCCAAAAGCCATTAAATGTTTTCTGTGCAAACAGTCCAGGAATACATCCAGTAAAGAGACTGAGGTAAGAGCCGAATGTAATGTCAGATGAAAACAAAAAGGTCTAAACAGAGAGGGGCCAGTGGTTCTTTATGCCCAAAAATATCACCTTCACGTCGTAGCCGTATGTCTCTCGAATGTCCTCATCAGAGTCAGTCTCCTCGTCGTCGTAGTCCATGGATTGGCGTGGTGAGGTGGACCTGCTGAAGCCGGCCTGCTGGAAGGTCTGGATGTGACCCTGGAAGGAAACACATACACACTCAAAACATGTGAAAGAGGTGGCACGCCTCAGCGCCCCCCGCAGGCCGGGGTCACACCTGCAGGTCAGGGTTGGCCGCGGCCTTCTGTAGCTCGGCGTTGATGATCTTCTCGGTCTTCTCCCGCGCCGCCTGCTCCACCATGCGCTGGCTGAGCACCGACAGCTTGGCCAGGGCGGACGACAGTTCGTCGGTGGCCAGGGCCTGGCGGGCGCGGTCCTGCCAGCTCATGGCCCGCTCCGTCAGGCACTGCAAAGCCTCGCCTTCGGGGAGCCTCACCGGAAGCTTCTGCAGTGACACCAGCAATGACAGGATGGTCTCCAGGCGGGGCCGTCGCGAACGCTGGCACAGCGGGCATAGGAACTTGGCCTCCTTGCTCTGCCAGGCTAGGCCTTTCTTCTGGGTGCCCGCCTTGGGCAGCGGCACGCAGGCTCCATGGAACCAGTCCTTGCAAAGTTCACACTGCAGCATGAAGCCACTGGCCGTCTTGCGGCACAGGCAGAACTTGACCTCCTCGATGCGGTCCGCCATCGCCATCTTGGCCAGGTTGGCCGCCCGCAGCGAGTGGATGGCCTCCAGCTCCTTCTGCTCCTTGGTCTTGAAGGCTGCCACCTGTGGGGGGGAGGGGGCGGGCAGTGGGTTTCACATGAACACAGCTCAGTAGCTGGCGATGACGAACGGCAGAGCGGAGTGGAGACATCTTGGCGTCGGTTAAGCCAAGAGCGCGGAGAAGGAAGATTCCTGTTGGTGTGGGTGTCAGCATCAGCTGTGCTCTCTACAGGGGGGTCATTCTCACTGCGCACAGCAGGAATGGAAATAAACAACGCAGAGCAGTCTCTGCCTAAGGGGGAAGGCTGGGGGAGATGCTGAGAGGATGACGGGGGTGGAGACTCGTGCAGGACGTCGGTAGGAGGTTTCTCAGCGGGGTTTCCACTCACCACCGTGGCCGGATCCCGGACCTCGTCCAGGCCGTCCTCCAGGTCGCTCAGGCCCTCCATCTCCAGGCCCCTCTCCTTCTCCAGCAGCTCTTTGGCCCTCTTCCGCTTGCTCTTGCTGTTTCCGTAAACCCCGATATCCACGCGGGGGCTCAGCACCTGCAGGATAGGTCACCTCGTCTCTTTGCGACACCACCCTACCTGCCCTTGTGGCCAGTGGGTGGATCCCTGAAGCTACACCGATTGGCCGGCCTTGCTTTCTCAACTGTACGTCATTGTGGATACAACCTTCTGCTCAATAAATACGGTGTAATGTAAACTTTATTTTCTGTATTACGTCACCTGACGACTCAAGAAAGAAACAGAAAACTGCTGCAGAGAAGATCCGTGACCATCAACCGTGAAAAGGTACAGATTCC